GGCGAGGTGAGGTGAGGCGTCCGTCATGCAGAAGACAAGTTTTTTAGAACCATTACAAGGCATCTGGAGTTATGCCTGCCGGTCAGACGGAGCAGGGAGAGAGAGAAGGAAACAGTGGAAGAGAGAAACAAAAGAAACAGAGATGAGATAAAGTTTGAAACGGGGCAGAGTAGGGATGGAAACAGAGCAGCAGAGGAAGAGAAGAAGAAGGGAAACAGATTAAAGACACTGACAAGGTTATCCAGCTCCCAGATCAGACACAGTGTCTCTCTACCTGCTTGTGCAACAGCTCCAGAGCAAAAGCATCAGAGCAGTTGTTTTTGAAGGCTGTCCAGTACATGATAAGTGATTACATGATTTTGACTGATGGACAGTAGAGCTGTGCGATATGAACTATATAAACAATGATTATTAAAGAAGCTTATTTCCTTGGTTAATGGTGCTGATGTGACTAGGCTCAAATCTGACACAGACTGATGTGGTGTATTTTAAATGTTTTAATAATAATAAATAATAATATAATAATTAATATTCTATCTATATCTTTTCTATGTCAGTTCCAACCTCCTGAAGTTTCTGCTAAAAACAAACACACCCAGACTCTAGTACTCTGGCTTCTCTGAGCCATTTTCCACGGGCCAGTCCAAATGGCCTCGGGTCTCGCCCACTGACTTGTTAAAAAGCTCCCAAACCCAGAAACACAAAACAAACTGAGAGAGGAACTGACTGGTTTTGCAGGATGGAGGACGAGTTATTATCAGCTCTGTCCAGACACCATTCACACCTCCTGCTTTCTGCTTCAGTGACATCTGAGTAAAGGTCTCCGCTGACTGAATGAACCTCAAGGTGTTAATGTGCAGCTTCTGACAGGGTGGGGAAGTAACAGAAACCACCAAAGATATGGCTATAAACTGGTTTACAATAACAGCCACCTGGACAGAAACTAAACTCTCTTCTCATAATTTAAGATCTGACAGCCTCTATTGTCCTTTTCCTTTTCAAAATCCAGCTGTTTAAGTGCCTGGCTACTTCTTTAGACACAGATAAATACTATCACCAACATAACAAGGCATCAGACTGTGATTAGTTTTTCTGTGACTTGCATAAAACTGAAGTCCACGGTGATGTTACTGAGGGAGTTTGCCACCAGGTGGAGCTTTTGCACAGTTTAACGTGGGGGAGAGATACTGTGTCTGTGTATCTGGAACATTTGTTAGCACAGTTAACATCAAGTAGAACCAGGTTAAACTTTGTTAGATCACCACAACATAAACCACACAGAGGGGATGCAGGCAGGACACGCATGACAGCAGCCAGACTTCATATGGTACTTTTCATTTTTGATGACTTCATATATTCATACACATTTCTTTCTGTGGGTTGCTTGTGTTACAGGCCACATAGGAACTAAGTAAGGCCGCAATTAATGATTATATCATCATCAATTAATGTGCCAATTATTTCAAGAATTAACAGACTAACTGTTCGGACTAAAGACGTCAGAAAACATTTTAAAAAGCTAGAAACTGTGTATTTTCGGGCATTTTTGCTCAGAAAAATAATCTAAATGACTGGAAAAAAAAAGATAAGCTGAATGCCTAAAATGTAAATCTACAGAAAACAACACATCTGTGATCATTATAATAAACTTATTATAGATTACAGCACGTTGGAGCCTGGTTAAATGTATTTCACGAAAGCCAACTTGACAATGATCTGCATTTATTGTGTTTTAAAGGTCCAGTGTTTCAGATTTAGGGGGATATATTGGCAGAAATGGAATATAAATTCACAACTATGTTTTCATTAAGTTTATAGTAAGTGTTTTAGTTACCTTACAGTGAGCCAATTATATCTAAATACCAAGCAGGCTTTAGCTTGCAGCCTCCCTTAACACCCATTAAAAAACCTCTCCTTCCTCTCTGGCTGCTAACATGCTGACGAAGCAAGCAAGGGAAAGTAAAGAAAGAAAACACAATAAATAAATCACACTTGACATGGTCAGGCAGCAGCTCATCACACAGATGCACAGCAGAGATACACACAAACACAGTGGACATGGATCACAAACATCACAGAAAGAGTACAGTACAGAGCCCATGTTGAGTCAGGTGAACACAATGATGAGTCACGTCGCGTCTCAGAGGACTTATTTATAATAAAGTGAGAAGAGAGCGGTTTTCACGCCCGCCTGTGGAGAGAGCTGAAGTGGAAGTGATGGTTTATGTGACAGGGTGAAAGGCAACAATGTGGTCTGACAGCTGCAGGAGAGCAGTGGAGGGTAAAAATACCTCAAATACAATGTTTTTACCCCTCGAATGTAAGTTAATATAATCAGTATTACTAGAAAACTGCAATGTACAGTGACAGTACAATGTACTTATGCTGTTATGCGAATCTATGCAACTTTAATCTGAATTACATACTGTACACAGTGTTCTAACGTCCTGTTATCTGTATTTACATGTTGTTTATTTACATGTCTGTTTCCTGTTCCCATCTACCCCTCTGGTCGTCTTCTTGTGCTGCCATAATTATTCATTTCCCTCCAGGGATCAATAAAGTTTGAGCTTCTTGTTGTTATTCTTGTTGACTCTATGGTGACAAATCAGCCGTAAATTAATTCACTGTTGGATGAATGAGGGCAAAACAAAAGCAGCATTATTAAAATGTACTTCCAGCTAAAGCTCTTTCCAGATACGACAGGCTGCTTCCTGATATAAATAGGTCCAGAGATCAGCTGCTGATGTGAGACTGTCTGCAGGAGGCTGTATGCTAATAACTGACAGGATGCTGATGTGTCTCACACCAAACCTCCCAGAGCCACAGCCAGCGGTACGGAAGGAGATGCTGATTGGTTGTTCAGGGCGCTATGACTACTGTTGCTATGTGAGCAGCGGCAGCAGCAGAAATAAGCTGGTGAGCAGCCTACAGAGACTTTACATCTACATGTTCTTGCCTCTGCAGTCACTAGAGGCTGAGACAACACTGCAGATACTGTAAATGTACCCGCTCAGTTAGAAATGTGGCTCTGCAGCAGAGGGAGTTAGGTGGGTGTTGACAACATATGTAACCAGAGGGGCTTTACTGCTGTGGAGGCAGATTTTTAAGAGTCAGAGTTAGTTGGGGAAGCTCTACAGAAAGAGTTTAGTGGTTTGTTATGATCAAAGCACTATGTGGATGTAAAACACTACGACCAAAGCACAGGAATCTACTGTCAGAGATTTAAGATCCAGCCCAGAGCAGCTTCTTACTTATTAATCTAAGTGAGTGTGACAGTGAGGTACAAGCAATAGCTACTGCAGCAGAGTAATTCTGACAGTCAATCAGCATGATCAGTGTAGCACAGCACAAAATGATCTTTTTACTACTGTTTTTAAGGTGTGAGATGTTTCTGGTGAGAATAACTGTGATTAACTGAGTCAAGTATCAACCTCAAAGAATCTGTCTGGACAGAAACCACTGAAACCCAGATAAACATTTATATATTTATCATATAATGATCAATACTCATCTATGCATGTTACTAAAGTGTTAAAAACATCAACATCTATTGATCTATAAATCTTGAATATTTGGAACAGTTTTAACAGTTTAATACTGTTGTTCTGCTGTTCTGTGCCTCTAACCAAGAAAAGAAAACTTGTCATGTTATAGCCTTGTTATATTTATCTTTCAATAATTTTTTTAACTTGTGTGCCTCCGATGTCAGTACAAAAAATGGTATTTGTCTAGGTATTGTGTCAAGGTAAGAAATTCCAGTATCATGACATTATCTTAGTATCCAGTAGATAAAATAAGGAGGATTTCACCTTTTATAAGTCATTTGTCAAACACAAAGGAGACACTAAATATTAAGGATTAAGAATATTGCAAAAGAGATTTTGAAACTAAACTTTTAGGTCTTGTATGAGCTCTTTACTTTACAGTCGAACTTTGACCTTTACCATTCTTTGGCCTGACATACTGAGCTTTACCCCCTTTTATACAGCCTGTTCAAGGTGGTAATGTTGCACAGTTGTTCTGTGCTGAATTTTCTGTATAGAGCAAACAAACATGGAATTGGGGGCATCATTGTTCCGACGTTAAGCCAGCAGCAGAGGTAGCAACAGAGCCGAATCAACGTCTGTGTAAATTGACACTAGACGCCAGTGCTGTTCTGTTACATATAATATAACATGACCTCTTTGGCTTCCAGAGTGCTGGCATGCTATCTAAAAATCACACACTGGGGCACTATTTGGTTCAGCTTTTAACTTTAGGTACATTAAAGGTGAAATCACACTGTTGGGTTTTCTTTGGTTCAACAGTCAGCGAAAAAGCAAAAAAATAAACAGGTCTCCTACGTCTCCTTTGGTTTTCTAATTAACACATGAATGTGAATGTTAACTCCTCGAAAAACAGCAGAGAGAACATAGTTACATGCAGTTTACATGTTCTGAAGTTGGAATAAGGATTAATGGAAGACTGACACCTGCACGCTGACAACAAACCACAAATTTATTTAAATAGACAACGAAAACAGTTTGGAGAAATGAGTGGTTTGGAGTCAGTGTGCAGGTGTTTCTCTTTTTAATGAAAATATAACATGAGTTTTTGGTTGTTTCCTGATGTTTCAGAGTTTATTTTTACTCCTAACAAACAACTGTCCTGTTGTTGTTTGCAAATATCCCCGTTTTATTAGCATCAGCGTCACCAAAACAAAGATAACGAAGAAAAGTTCTTAGACAAAATATTCTGCTACAAACCAACTTGACGTGACCTCTACCTTATGATGATTCACTACGACTGATAAGTCTCCACATTGTTGCTGGGGGAGCACTGAAATCTTTCTGTACTAACAGTATATATAAGTCATAAATCTATTTCAACAAAGACTCATGTTTATCAGCTTTGATTTCTTCGCATGTGGCTTCTGTCCAGAAAGAAACAGGCTGTCTATCACACAAACATGTCTGAAGACTCTCAGTAATGTGTCGAGGGCTGTGTACTGTACTTACCCCGTTCCACTCCACGCTCATACTCACTTCCTCGCCACCGTCCGGCCCGCTCTCGTACTTCACCGTGTCAGAGGTCAAGCTCTCGCGGCTTCGCTGCTTCTCGCGGGCCTCCGGCTCGCTCAGGACCTCCGCCACGCGCTGCTTGTGCACATTGTCCAGACCCTGATAAACACAGAGACGCACATATATGCCAGGCAGCAATAAATGCCGATTCAAATAATCCAATTAAATGCAAAGGCTGAGCACGTCCGCCACCTGCAGCTTCAGCACATTGACACACACACATGGGCGCTGTGCAGCTGACAGGAACAAGTGCCAGTTCATCCAATCCAATTAATATTAAAGCTATAGACTTCTACCACCTGCTGCACTGAACCCGGCCCTGGCACGCACGCACCAAAGGGTGGACGGATTGTAACGTAACTGTAAAACTGAGACATTTTCGACCTTCTCTGTTGCCCAGCATGCTGACTGACTTCTATGTAAAGAACTCGCGCCAAATTTTCAGGAAAAGTCCAAAGGATGTGATGTTATGCATGCTCCCAAGCGCCTTGCCTCTCTTCAGCTCAGCTACAGCCGGAAAAGTGTGTAACACTAGCTAACGTTAGCTTAGAAATGGAGTCCGCTAATGTCAAGAAACGACCGGCAGCCACCACAACACAGAGCCTACACGTGTTGTGTTCCCATTATATATATATATGTATGTTTGCTGTGGCAGCCTAGAGATGGACCTTTAATAATGCTGGGGTTTGTGCTGCCTGAATGCGACGTGCTAAGGTCAGTTTCCAGAGCTTTCAGCCACTCTCCTCCTGGTGAAGTAATTTGCTTGCGGCGGATAGTGAGGCAGAGGGACAGTGAGGTGTGCTCTGCTAGTTCTCATTCATTTGTGATCTGATAAACAGCAAATTCATCAAATTTAGTGCTGCATATCATAAATTTAGTAGTCCTCTGTGCTGTTAAAAAAATCCCAAATATTGGACATATGACAACTCTTACTTGTGCACCGTAGGCTTCAATATTCACATCACACTTTTGTACATGTAATACTGAATCACGACTGGTTTATCAACTAGCTGTAATGTCACAGAATCCTCGTATGTACATGTGCTAAACTAAATGAATGTGAAAACAGCCCTCTATGGTCAAACTGTGCACAGTGAAACTTAAACATCCAAGTGACAGAACAATAAGCAAAACACATATTTGAGCGGAGGCAGACCTTAAGTTTTTATATAAAAAAAAATGCTTATCTGAAAAGAAATTCTGTGGGATTTCTCTTCAGGAACAAGTTGGCAAAGTGAAGCAGCCTTTGGCGTAATTAAAGCTGGACGATGGTAGTGTTACACCACAGTGCAGACGGATGCAAACACTGTTTCCTTTGAGCCTGTCTGAGGAATTAATTATTCACGAGGGGAAAAACACAAACCGACGGGACAACAAATTGTAGAACGGTGACGCTGTCTGAATCTAAATGTTTGTTCTTTTAACTTCATTACCAGCTTCCTCCTCATGAATTATACAGACTTTGAAAATGTACTGAATCTCTAAAAAGGCAATCTAATTTTGGTTTTTAATGTCAAAATGTACTTATGATAGCTTCCTCTTACAAAGTGCATAAATATTTGTAGAAGCTGCCCACATTTCTACGGCATGATCACATTATCTGCTGCTTAAATTAAATACTATATGTGCACTGTACACAGGTAAATGATGCAAAATATTTCAGAGAAAATGACCTGCAATATCTGCTTGTGTGACCAGACACATGTTCTTAGTGTCTCCGAACTTTAACACAACCCTAAATGTCAATTTGATTTAAAAATAGGCAGCATGCAGGTATCTATAATTTGATTACCAGAATCTAATCGCTCTCTCCAGCTGTAACTGTATCTGCACCACAGGAATCCAGTTTAATTTGAGTATCATGTGTTACTTCCCAGCTGAGAGATACTCGACATTAAATCCTGGAAGTAAATTCAGTATAAAAGCTGCAGGGCTTCTCCACGGCCTCTCGCATCTCATCTCCACAGGAGACCCCATTAGGTCTCATAAGTAACACGCCATCAGAGGCAGTTTAAAAGGCTTCCCAGCATCCACAGTTTATCATCTCATCCCTAATTTTACACTAGACAGAAAATTTTCTGCCTTTTAGTCTGCCATAAATGCCGAGCTGACCCGCTTCCTCTACCTCTATCCCTGCAGTTTTAACACTGACAGTGACGTCTTAACTGCAGTGAGGAGTCCTGCGTTACTAGTCACACCATCCGGAGACCACACCTGCTTTCTGGAACGCATGGCAGCTTCCTCCAGAGTCTCAGCCGCCTCGAACTTGCCCTGCCGCCTGTAGAGGGCGCCCAGGTTCTTCAGGGTGGTGGTCACTGTGGGGCTGCGAAACAAGGAGGAAGAGTTCATGAATCATTTTGGAGAAAGAGGAGTATTTTCACTTATTTAGAGATGACAATATTTAATATCTAATACTGAACTCAGTTTTTTTGTTCTTCAAATTTGTTTAGATATAGCAGCAAAGCAATGTCACATAGAGGCTTCTTCTTTCTCTCATTTAACTCAAATATGTCTTGCTTTGTAAAAAAAACAAAAATCCATAGTAAATAACAGAACAGAGATCTGACTGTAGCTACAGTCTGAGATCTCAAGACTTAGTTTTGTTGTCTGTTCCTAGTGCACAGACTGAGCTGGGAAAGAAAGCTTTTATGTGCTCTGCTCCTCTCACTTGGAATCAGCTTCAAAAAGAGTTGACACGACGTGAACTGGTCTCTGCCTGATTTTAAAGCTCTCATAAGTACAAAAATACAAGGATGATAAAATCAGTTGGTTCTTGTCATTGTGTGAAGGGGCTCTAATATTTCCCTTGAAAAAAAGATTGTTGATCTCAATCATACAAAGCTGTTTAAACATGGATTAAATAAAAGCAAATACAAAATAAAAATAAATAAACTTGATTCTATATTAAGATGTGATCCCAGACCAGCAGGACGGAGTGTTTCTGTCAATAGTAATTTGTCTGTAGAGGGTTCCTAGTGAAGAGGTGTTACATTTAAGACTCTTTTAATGCCACTCGCAATGAAATGTAAGACCAATTTTACAATCCCTAAAATACAAGAAATAAAAAAAACATAAAACAACATCTATTACTTTGGGTTAGGGACAATTTAGCCTAATGTTTATTGTAACATAACATGTGACTTTTTGGGAAAATACCCATTTGTTGGCGAGGTTTATTAGTGATTTGTGGTTCTCACTCTACATGTGAGATTACACTGCCTTGATTCCCATCGTGCCAAGGTTGAAAAACTTGTTTAAAAGCCAATTTTAGTTTGATCTGCAGATTCCCATGTCGCCCAGGGTACAGTGACAGCTAGCTAGCAGAAAGTGGATCCTCTGCTCTGAGCAGCCAGAAACAAAACATGAGTGATGTTGGTTTTGCTATCCTGATCTGTGTGACATCAGAAAAATGATATATAAAATCCTACCTCCCATGTCTTGGCATTTTTAAGACTTTTGAAAATTTTGATTCAAGACATTCTAATACCAATTAAGACCTTATTTTTGGATTGATTAATTCAATGCCTTTTAACACTTTTTAAGGACCTGCAGGAACCCTGTTGTCCTGGGCAAACCACAATAATTTCAAAGCGTAATACATCACATTGGGTCAATCTGAGTGGTCAAAAGATGAAAGGACCCAGATAAAACGTACAATTTTTATAGCAAATTTCTGAATGATTTCATCTCTTCAGGCCTCTAAAAACAATGTCAAGGAAAAGGTCATGTTTTGGTTCAACTGGTCACAACTAGCCGTCATATACAACCAAGAATGAGGGGTTGAAAGTAAACATTACTTTGTTTTAAAGTGTCACAGACAAGAGACATTAGGAACCACTGGTCCACAAACTATGAGACACAGACCAACTGTTTGAGAAACTCCTGCTGTGAACAGAGCAGTATGCTGCTTTAATCATTTATGAACCTGCTGTTGCACAGACACATTTGAATACATTTACAATCCTTTGTTTTCTGCTCAAACACTGAATTCATCACACAAACTGACCTGTCAACTTTGCAGGCTTTGTACCAGCCTCCGTATTCTCCAAAGGGTGAGCCATCCTTCTGTTTCCCCTACGACACAGAACTCAGGTTCATAAGTTACGACAAAACTGCTTCAAGGAAACCTACATGTACTTACATGAACATTTTAAGTCTGGATAAGAAGTGCGGACCCATGAACTGAGTAATGAAGCGACTCACACATTAAAAGGATGAAAATTAACCCATTTGAAAACTAAACGCTTTTTTTTTTTTTAAAGCCATCAAAGATACCATGAGGGGGTGTTTAGTGGTGGGATTACAGTTGAGTCAGGATTCCTTCCCTGAAACCTTTTAAAGCATGACGGAAATAAACTCGGGGACTCACGCCATCAGCACTGGGTGGTTATTACAGAGACTAAATCTGCTAATCCAGCTCTTTGTTAAGTCAGTCCTTCCTCTTCCATCTTAAATAGATCATAAAACTGTCACAGCAGTTTAATGCTGCCATCTGTGTGACTTAGTATGTTGTTCTCAATGTGTCCATTTGACCTGACCTGGTGTTAATAGACGTAAAAATTAAATGTGGTTAACGACTGAATGTGTTGGAGTCTTTTATTGTTACATGAGACTTTTTAAAGAAACTACAGGGTTAATATTAAAACACTTACTCATTAAAATGTGTGTATGTGACAAACAAATTGCTAGAATTATACAAGATACAATAAAACTACTCATACTGAGGGAAACTGTTCAGCAGTTGCAATGTAAAGTGGGAAAGATTTTACTAAGACAGATTTTACTTACCTTGCTTTGTTCCTCTCTCTCCTCAGCATGCATCCATATTGGTTTGTTCTCATCTGCAGAGAAACACACAGAAAGAGGTGAATCAGCACTGACATTCACCGAGATAAAACAGCAGGAGAGAGGACGAGTTTTGAGAAGTAGGGTTTTTATTTTTTAGCTGAAAGGTCCTTCTTGTTTACTGCTACCAAAATGTTAACAGCAGCCTGAAAATATTAACCTTTACATTAGAGGAGGAGAGCAGCGGGGGCTGTCAGAGAAGCACAGACTTGTTTGTGTGTGGATGAGAGAATACTGGTGGAAATGTCCAAAATGTAAGTGTGTGTGTGTTTATTATCGAGCCACATGTCGTACCATCCACAGAGCCGAACTCCCTCTCGTGAGCGCGGGTGAGAATTTCTTTATACAGAGTTTCAGCCTGCTTGAACTTGCCCTGCTTCAGGTAACAGGACGCCTGAGGAGCACAAAGAAACAAGCTTTAAGAGTCAGCGTGACACTGAACAATAGGTCCTAAACTAAGTCAGAGTTTATCTGACATATTACACTGAGAAAAATAATTAAGATCAGCATTTCAGTAAGCAAAACAGGTCATTCTTATCTAAATATACCAGTGTTTAAAACAAGATTTCATAGCCAAAATGATAAATTGAAATGGTACTGCTGCGATAAGTGAATTCACTCACAAGGATGAAGTAAATCTGAACTATTTTTTTGTCGAGCTTAATTCAAACTCTGATATGCCGTCGTGACAGTGCTGACCTTTAGAGGGAACATAGAGCATAGAGTCCAAAACAAAGGAAGCTATCGCAGCTTATTAACTGTGCTGCACCCTCAAATTCTATGAAGTTGTTGGGAATAGAATGATTTTATGTGTTTTACTATAAGTTGTGTTTCACTATATAAGTTTTAGATGTGTGAACAATGAGAATACTGAGATGATTTCAGCTGATCTGAATGTGTTTGCTTTGCAGAAGTGGAGAAGTACAGGAGAGGAAGAGACATGAAGTCTGAGGAGCACATACCGCAATGCTTAGATAATTAGTTTCATATATGGTAAAAAGAATAGAAAGTGATATACAGATAGTAAGGTACAGCACGTGTAGGGAGTTGTGTTGTTCTCTTGTCTTTCAAAACAGGAACCACGCCCCCACCGCCAGCGGGAAGGAGTCAGATTAACACGAGGCAGGGGCGTGGTGTGGTGAAAGAGGAAGTGGAACTGCCAATGAGGACAACTCCTTGCGTGCAAAATGACACTCTGTTACGCTCAAATATACTGGGTCAGGGAAAGGACAGGAGGTCAGACTTCGTGAACTGACACACCTTTGCTGTTCGTCAGGGACGTGAAGTTGAGACCCAGAGCTCTGTAATTTTATTCCTTTACTGCTTAATAAACTACGTTAACTGAGACCGAATATCTTCTCCTATTGCTTCATTAAAGAACATGCAGGACTGAGCTCACACATAGCACATTGGAGAGTAGGATGAGACTCTTAGTCCAACAAAGTATAAACTGCTACACAGATGTGTCTTTGAATCAACTGTGGGACCGTATTGTCCTGTTAGCGGCCGAGCTAGTTACAGAGTTTAGCCTGATAACTAGCTCGGGGAGTTTTTCCCTCCTTCAGGAACACTTTATTGAATGAAACTAGTGTATGTGCAAGCTTGAGAAAAACACGTCAGGAGGGGAGTAAAGAGCAAGGTGCAGACAAAACTGAAAGAAGCTCTGAGGACTGACTTGGGCTAGCATTGCTGATGCTAATGCACCCACTATAGCTAGTCTCGAAGTTACTTTCTAGCACCACATATTTCATGAAGATGCAGAGATAAATTTTGCTGGCTGCATTTCTGAAGTGTTTATTTTAATTTGAAAGTTAACTGAGGTTGTGCCGGTGTATACATTTTCAAATAGGTTTGATATGAAGCCAAACACCAGACCAGTGTACCAAATTATATCACCAGGTGTCACACTTGACTCAGCAGTTACTCCTGAGTGGACCATGATGATAATGTATCTTAACAGCGAGCTAGCGTCTGACTAAAGCGTCTCATTGGATGCTCTCTGCCGACACTGAATCCAATAAATATGCACTCTATGTTATGCTATACAAACAAACCACATACGATCAGCTGTGCGCACCGCTTCCGTCAGCTTTAAATACAAAATGTTGCTATACTGTCTCAGTTACAGCTTTCTTAAGAGACTAAACTCTTGACTGACAACACAAAGTGGTACTAACATACAGTAGGACTACACTTCATCACTAAGGAAACACAGTTTAAAGTTCAGCATGAACTGTAGAACACCATTTAACCTTTATTTTTGTTATTAATACACTAAAATACTCATAACTGCCTAAAGCAGCTGTCATCCATCAGTGAAATACTGCCCCAGCTCCGCCTCCACCCTTCTCACCAGGTTGTTCTTGGTCTTGGCCACGTTGGGGTCGTCGGGGCCCAGTTTGGTCTGGTAGATCTCCAGCGCTCTCATGTAGTAGTACTCCACCTCCTCGTACTTGCCCTGGTTCTGACACAGCAGGGCCAGGTTGTTCAGCTGTTTGGCCACATCTGGGTGGTCCTTCCCCAGCACCTGGGACAGAAGCAAGTGGAGAGAGAGGTTAAAACAACAGTCTGAGTTTTAGAGGACAATCTGTGTCTCACATTGGAGCCATTTGGTCGACAGCTCTTATTAAGGGTGAGAAATTACCACCAGCCTGTAGCCACCAGGTGCCTGTGAATCTCTGGCTGTAGCTGGTACCCAGTTATTTTCGCAGTTTCACTCAATTCTAACACAAACATAGTTTGCAGAAGCTGTGACCTCTGTGCCAATTTTCAGCCTCCAAGGGCAAAAACTGAAACATTTTTGTGAACTGACGGAGGTGATAATTGTTCAGGACTATCAGCTAATATACCTAATTCACAAGTGGATGGAAAACTTTAGAATTCACTAAAAACTAGTCAATGATTCTTTTACTTCATTCTCTGAATTCCCTCAGCGTCATCCTGTGGGTTCAAATGTGTAACCCAGTGTGAATCCTAAATATTTAGTGTCGTAATTTGGGATTTTCTGGAAGATAAAGCTGTCTGGAAATCTGTTAGCCATCGGGAACATTACATCTCTTGCCAGGTTGCGTTGACCCTTGTACTTACTGCTACGGTTTGTTTGTAATGTTGCTCATTTTGAAATTAAGCCAGATTCTAACATGAGACACATAAAAATCTCCCAACAGCAGTGCGCCACATTTTGCATAATGTATGCTACTTAAGACCCATAATTTTGGGTCACCAAATTGGGAATTAAATCAGTAGCTGGCGCTCTTATTTTAATATAACCTGCTTTCTAAACTACAGAGATGTTTCCTGAAAGACTTTGACCTGTAGACTACTGACCTGCTTGATTAAATAAAAGCTGAGTACAGCAGACAAACACAGCAGTTATCACAGTAAACAATATCCCTCTCTCTGCATAGAGCCAAAGCCCAGGCTATTTATAATCTTCATGTTTAGCAGAATCCCTAAAATAACAGGAAGATACAAAGGTTTGGAAAGGAATAAAAGGTTCTGTAATTTATGTAATGACAACCATCTGGGGGATGAATATCATATATTCCTATATTTGTAAACCACCTGTCCATGTTTAAAATTATATTATTGCAGACAGATAAATCAGGACAATATACTAGATGCTTTTTTGAGTAATGTTCTGCCTCTCTTTAAATGACTCAGCTTGTGCTAATGATCTACTGTGGTGGTTTACCTTTGTATTGCTGTCTTGGGTCATATTTCATACCACAATTGATGGTCTAGAGTAAATAAATCTCAATCAAAAGAAGCTGAACCATCATAAAAAAATTACGCCAAAGTGGCTGTGGTTAAATTGTTGCAGATATGAGAGCAGTGTAAGCTTTTCCTGTGTGCTGAGGAGGCTTAACGCCATTGCAGGCGAGTGTAGCAAGCGTGAAAGAAATGCAGGAGGATCATTAAAGACGAGGTGGCAGCGAGGGTTTTATCTGAGTCTGACTGTCCAGCGATGAGAGGGAGATCAGAGAGAGATGGAGGACGAAAAATGCGGAGTAGAGAGGGAAAGAAGAGGAGACGAGCTGAGACTTCGAATCTCTTCCGTTTCCAAAGAGGAGGAGGGGGGGGGGGAATGTTAAAAGAGAAAAGAACATTAAGTCAGTGAACTCGTACTCTGCTGGTTATTGCACTGAGAAATTACATCATTAAAAACTCTGGGTAAAGAGGGACGTGAACAAAGGGAGGGCGGAGGACACATGGAGAAAGAAAAGCAATCGGTGTGAAAAGTTAAAGAGTATTAGAGATGAGAGGTAAACCAAGTAGCTTGTTGTTTTTCCTTGGGGGGGATTTCAGGCTTCAGATTATTGCGGTGTGAACGTGTAGGAGGTCTGAGATCAAACCCTCACAGGATCATCTTCCTCCCTGCTGGAGACTGACAGCCTCTAGGTGTCTGTGATCCACAGGATGATGCAGAGCTATTTACCTACAGTATTCTCTCAGTTCCGGCCTCCCACGCCTCCTCCTCCGCAGCCTAACACATCTGACAGCTCTCCTGTAAACATCGTTAGGTGGAAAAGGATTGCCATAAGCCACGCGCGGCGGCGAGGTCTGGGTCGCTGAGGAATTGATCGTGTTTATTGATGGATGCCATGCCTTCAAATACCAGAAGTGCTGCAGTCTGAGGTGGTTTCTAGGAAGCTCTTTGAAACATTACCTTCGTCTAAAATAAGGCTGGAGAGCCTCTACTGACAGAGTGCTGACTCAATCTGTTGTACCCAAATGTTTACTGGATGTGGGGATTTCTGAGAAATTCTGGAATTGTTTCTGTTCCTCTGACGTACACATTTCAACAAAGACGTCAGTGCAAAGACAGAGAGCAGTGAATAGGGCTTCACTTTCTTATTCAAGGACATTTGAGCAGAAAAGAAAACTTGTAGTTACACAATAGTCAGGTTCTCTGCTCCATTAAACTGACTTCACTTGTTTTGTGCTTCAAGTTTGAGGGGAACTTTGATAAGCCGTTCAGAAAAGATAACCAATGTTGGATATTTCAACTTCTGCTAATTTCATTAGAGAACTTTGCTTCTATTTTTCACAGATCTTGAGGCAGATTTTTATTTTTTTGTTGTATTTTAAGTAATGACTAAAGCGGAGACTTTAAATAGTCATGTGATCTACCTTTTCAGGCATGTTTGCGTGGATGAAAATCATTTTAGAAATAATGCTAAAACACTTCAGAGTAATAGAAATCGTTTTCATTTCAAATTGCTGTTTTTAAATGAGAGTGTATTAATGTGGATGTGGCCTCAGCCCTGAGCCCACTGGTTCCTACTCATGATATAAATCTTTAACAAGTCAATAATGTCAGTATAAAAAAGGCTCAGTGATTTCCTTAAACAGCTGGTCACTGTAGTTGTCATCAAAAATTACTCAGAAAATCAGACTGGAGAAATTAGTGCATTTGTTGAAGACTATTTTCAGCAGCAGCTTAATCCACATTTGGCGCTCTAGTGAGACTTTGGAGCAGCAGGACGATGTGGAGAGAACTGAGTCAAAATAAACAAATAAAACATCACAGGACTTGTTCATTTAACAGAGGGTTTAGTGGCACTATAGTTGAAAACATTTACTATGTCTTTCAGTTGCTGTTGCAGCGTAGCTAGACAACTCATGTGAACCTTTCTTGGACTGCATGAGGAGCACTATGGTGACTATTAAATACAGCATCAGATCAGGACTATTCATCCAGAAATCACACTGGATTCAGCATCAAAATGTTTTCATTTCCTCTCAAACAAACTAACTGAATAGTCAAAAGTTTCTATTCCAGTTGATATCTTCAGCACCTCATTGTCCCTGATACCCACCAAACTCACGTAGAAGCTGAGCTTTCCCGAGCTTCTATAAAAAGGCAAAACTGCAGGAAGAACGAATCCCTCCGATTTAGCAACTCTGCAGCAGCCACATGCCTGCGCAAGAAAAACTCAAATCTTTCAGCTTAAGCAGGAGCATTATCATCCGACTTTAAGTAGCATAAGAAAAAAAAATGGAATCGCTCAGCTTAACCAAAGCTGACGTCTTATTCTCAGAGGAGCGAGAAGGAGAGCAAAGGAGGGTTTTGTTCAAAGGCAAGAGCTGAGGACAGATACAGAGCAGTGAGTACAAAAATGTTTTCTGCACTTTCAGGATTGCTGAGCAGCACCTTCGTAAGCACCAAACTAGAGGTCAGACAAAATACTGATGATCTCCTCTGAGATATACAGGCTGTCCTGTGATACACATCTTAGAACGATACAAAGCGAAGGGAGATGAGCAGGAATGAGTCAAGGGAGAACAATGTGAGTCACTTAATGTGAAATTTCAGTACTCAGAACATCAGTTAAGAAACAGAGAACTTGTATTTCTTAATCATTTGGTCAGACAAAAGAAAAAAATATTCAAAATCAACCTCAATAGCAGAGTTTGGAGAGCTGCTCTGCCTTAAGTTTCTTGCAGTTTTTTTCCCATTAAACTTATCGCGGTCAGCTAAAATTTTTAAGGTCATGTCCATAAATTGTACAATATTGACAGTGTGTTTACATGCATATTTGTTTACATGAGAGTGTCACCAACATTTTAGCCAACAAGACACCAGAATGAACAGCTGGGTTTTTCCTTCCATTACAAAACTTAGGTGCAACACCCAACAGTGCTTGAGCCTAATGAACAGAACACAACAACTATGCTGAGACATGTTTGCTGTCATTACTGGTTATTTATCTTTTATTTATTTAGGATTTTTCCCCACATACCAATTCCAAATATCTATCTGTCTGCACATGTATGCAGAATCCCTAGGCGACAAGATAAGATCTTGGTATCAGAAGTGTTCTAGTTTCTGTTTGCAGTCTTGACCAAACACGTTTGAATGGCAGGTAAACAGATCATGTGGAGAGGCAAAATGCATTGGGGGAAATGCAGTCTTAAAACCCACTGGCTACCGTCTGATGACGATTTCCCTTACTGTATATATATTTTTGAGTTTGCTACACCAGAACCCCCGAGATATTGTCCATTGCTCCCAGGGGCATTATCTTAGTCAGATGATAGCCGATAGGTTCTGAGACTGCAATGAATTGAAAGTTTATTGCTCTTTGAAATGGTTTACTTACATCAATATGCTAACATATTACCATTTCATCAGTGGCATAAAATTGTCTTAAAATGACATCATTTATCGCAATTATTTATAGAACAATATATTGTCTACAAAAAGTAGTCATCACGAAAAACCTATTTTTATCCAAGCAAGGGTCGATGGACACAGGGTGTTTTACACTGCACAAATTGTAAAATTGAAAAGGACATCCACTTTGAACATTAAAAAAAACACCAAGAGACAGTTTTAAACCAACTCATGGAGTTTGAGTACTGGCATTAGCACATGCTAGCTAACTACCGCTGATAAACTGAGCTAGAGTTGTCAGTTTACCCGTCAGCTAGAGATGAGAAGTTGATTTTGTTTACTTCTGTGTGAAATGTTCCACCCTTTGTTTAAAAAATAAGTAAGAATTTCGAGTGTTAAATCTGTCACAGCTATCACTGTAAACCGCTAAAATGCAACGGCGAGTGTTTGTCCTTCATTCTGCTGCCTTTAAATCCAGTGACTCATGGGAGACATCTTGAGTGAAATATTCAGTGCTTAGTGTTGGACTCTGTTTCTGTTCCCAAGTAGGACACGGAGTTTGTCTGAAAGTGAAGTGAAAGTAAACTTCTGAGTTTTAAGCCTGGTGAAGAAGAAAAACTGACCATCTGTTGGCTGCAAGTACAAACTCAGCTTAGTTGGCTCTCCTCTCACTTGTTTAACTCCCTCTGAATCAGTTTTGTCATGGTGCTGGATGACCTTTGACCCACCTTTTCTCTGATCTCCAGCGCTCTCTTGCACAGAGGCTCTGCTTCCTTGTACTTTCCTCTCTTCCCATAGAGGACGGCCAGGTTATTGAGGGTGGCGGCGACCTGACAGGAACACAAACACATTTATTATTTCACTGTATTCATGGCTGGTGATGAGCCTCAATCATCTTCACCCAAGTGCAACCGCAAGGCTCCGCCACAGCAGCAAAGTGCCATTGATCTGGTGAGAGAGTAATTAACGAGGAGGAAGACATGCGGAAACAGGAAGTGATTATGACGGGGCTGTAATTTGATCCCAATCAGATGTTTCATGAATCTTGTGCACTCAGGAGGAGGGGGACTACAGAGGCGCCTGGGGGTCACCTCTGATCTCTGATTTAGACATGCTCTGGTGACCATGTGGGCAGAATGGGAAACAAGGAAGGAGGGAGGGAGGGCAGAGGGGTGAAGTGATTGGAGGTGGGGGAGCTCATAGGAGTGGAGCACTGATAGAGGGAAGGGAGTGTAACAGGAAGAGAGGGACGGAGGGCAGAAGGAGAAAGCTACTGCACTCTTTTTCTAACTTTTTCCGCTACATTATTCCTTAATTTGACTTTTTTCCTCAGCATGATTTATAATAGTTTACAAGCAATCGCTATAAAAGATGAGGATTATTCATGGCAGGCTCACGAACACCAGAGAAGAAAAAGATCTTGTTTTCAAGTGTCTGAGACGCACTGCTGCAAATCATATGATTCTGCTGCAAAGTTGATGAATCGATCTTTAGCCTGAGGTGTTCTTATGAACTATTCCCCTATTTTTTCAACCCGCAGTCTGTGGTTCTGTTTGTCTGTGACAGTGCTGTAGGGCGTCCAGGAAAGATTTCTGAAGTAAGACACTTAGTGTGTGCCTTATTACATTATTTCCTCAAGACACAGACTGACTATGGTTAAAGGTAAACTATGCAGGATTGTTGGTTAGTGTGGGTAATATGGTTGCCAGAGAAAGTGAAAGCCAACCTCAGATTCACTCTCATTTGGCGTTTCGCTTTGGTATATTTGTGTTTTTTGTAGAGTGGTGTCTCTCTTGCTGCTTAGGGTCTGGCACCCTGTGGGGGTACATGCCCTTGTCACACACCTCTAGTGGGTCATAAGTGATGACAGAGAGGGTTTACTTCTGTATGAGTCTGTACATTGTTTTTTTTTTGTTTTGTTTTAGGAAAATCCTGCTTTGCATACATTAAAATAAACCTGGTCCTCATCCTGCACCTGGTTTGAACAAGCTGCTTGACATGTGCATTCAATAAAGTACGGTTGTGAGCTTAAATGCCCTTTGAAACCATTTACGATCCAATACACAATCAATATATTTGAAAAGGACAATTCTGGTCAGCATAAAGCCTGAGACATGACATGGCTGGTGTAGAAAGATGTAATGAGGTATATCTGTTCTTTCACTCACACATGTTGTATTCCTCCACAAACCAGTCAAGTTTCTCTTACAGTTTACATCCATGTCTGTGAAAACATGAATGCTTCACATGCATCTTCCGGATCTGACCAAATGTCATTGTGTGAAATTTTGTCATGACCAGCGTCTGAATGCTGGAGTTAGGTTGTTTTTGAGGTCACACTAACCTTTACCACCAAAATTTCATCAGTTCATAGTTGAGTCCAAGTGGACATTTGTGCCAAATTTGAAGAAATTCCCTCTGGGCATTCTTGACATATTGTGTTCACAAGAATGGGATGGATAGACGGACGGACCACCTGAAAATGCAATGCCTCTGGCCACGACTATCGCCCGCGCAGAGGCATAAAAATGCAAGGCTTATTGACTTGAATGCGGCTGAACATTTTTCATGCACAGGTGGAGTCACAGCAGAGGGAGTACTTCAGTCAGCTCCAGCAAACAATAATGATTGAGAGACACTGAGCTACCGTGTGTTTAAATGTAGTGTTTGCTACGTCTAAAATTAGTTTACATGTCCAAAATCAGATCAGGTCCAGGTTTGTTCTCCCCCCTTTGCCAAGTTTCCCTGTCATCACCCAGCAGATACAGAGTCCCCAGGCAGCTCTCTCTTCAGGAGGAGCCCACTCACGAGATATTTCAAAGTGCTGTTTGATGCGTAGGAAGAAACCACAATCACAGACTCCTTGTCTCTGACCCTCTCGTCTCTGGGGACACAGCTGAACTCAGCTGGGGGCTCTTAACCATTTCCATATGTTCACCTGCAAGACTACAGCCTATCCAGGATCTTAGTTTAATAACCGATCCACCTTTCACACTAGCTTGGGCTCTTTACCTGGATCAAGTTTTCATAGACAGGAGTCACCACGCCAAGGCCAAACCTTGACATGCCATTCAACTGGCAGAGCCCCAGACCACCCAAGCTCTTTGGTAAACATGATGTAGGTGTGTTGGTACACGCATAACCGGCGGAGTTCAAACCTGATTCAGGCATCATTAAGCAGAATTCAGAATCATGTTTCTTAATGAATACCTGGCTCTCATAAATTTGGAGCAAGTTCTCAGTAGTGAACATTTAAAATAGGGTAAAGAGAAGAAGAGACAAAGATTTAGAAGACTGGAAATACTACAGAAAGAAGAGACCAAGAGGCAAAGCGATGGATTCAAAATGACAAATATGGTGAGAGGAATCAGTGTAACAGGTAACTGCCGATATTGTTGCCAAAACTCTGATTTTCTGATGACAAAAATCATTTCCTTGTGGAAAGAAGGATCAGGACCTGGTGACAGGATGAGAGGACAGAGGTGGGAGTGCAGAGGGCTAACCTCAGTTTCACAAAGTGGAGAGTGATGGAGGTCCAGACAGTGGAGACACAGGCCTGCTGGGGTTAACACAGTTAGTCACCCTGCTGTATGTTCACAGGCACACTGACTATCAGAGGTTAATGGGGTCTGAGAACAGGAGCAGGTCAATTATTTATGAAATCTACTGTGTTGACTGTGATCGTCCTGGACTGCAGTCACAATCCTGAACAAACACATTAAAGGGTGTTTGGGAAAATGTAATTAGGGTGAGGAGGGGTGTAATTAAAAATGTATAAGATGGGTGGCCTGAACACAGCCAGCATTTCCCAAGAGGCTGTAGGGTGTCATGTGCTTTTGTCTTCCACTGGAAAAGCATTAAAACTTTATATTAGCAGTTTAGAAGTTTTGTTCTTGACTCGTTCTTGAATTCTAAAACTGTCCCCAGAACTACATCTAAAATGGAGAAATGATCCTTCCTTCTTACACTCAGCATACCCACCTGAACCTTATTTTCTGACTGTAAACCACTTCTCTTATTTACAAAAGGCTTCAGATGTTTAAGATAACACTTTTATAAAACATATTTTTCCTGGGAGTACGCTGCATCTAGGAGCACCTTTTGACAACTCTGAAACACACACAAAGCTTCAGAGGCTCTCTAATAATGATAAATGCCACAAAACTGTAATTCAAACACTACTTTGGCTGCACTGTTATTACGGCTGTCAGTGCTGTTATATGTGTTACCTGAAGGGAGGCAGGGTAGAATATTTTTAAATGAATTTTATTGATCCCATGAGGGGGAAACCGGGACACTGCAGCAGCCAAAAATAGGTGTAGACTGAGGAGCAAAGGGTAACAACGGAAGACTGAACAGATAAAGAACTCTAATTTTCTTTTTACATTAACTGTACTACCAGAGGTTAAAGTGCTTATGACACTGCACCCAGGAATCCATTGTTAGAGCTCTTTATACCAAAGGAATAGTTCAACATTTTGTGAAATACACTTACTGGCTTTCTTGCCATAAGTGAGATGAGAAGATCAATACCTAATGGTTATGACAGGGTTTAATGACAGAGTCAAGCCATTTTGTTGTCGGTGTGAGTTTTGTTGGGACCGTTTAATGGCTCTGTGTTGGATAGTTGCAGCTGCTGCTGTGTTAGCTTGTGCTAACTGGGCAGAGCTTGAACTGACTGTTAGCCAGGAGGCTGCAGAGACGGCAGCAACAGAAAGCTTGCTGATCTGGCGGGGATTCCGGATGGTCCAGGATCAGACCCCTTGCACAAAAAGGATCAAATGCAAGTATCGTTTGGGGATGTTTCGATACTACTTTGGGTTATTGGGTTATTTTAGCTGATAACTTTAACATATGGAGTACCAATATCCAGCCTTACTGCCAACAGCTGGTTAGCTTAGCTTAGCACAGCATAGAAACAAGAAAGATAGGGAAAATGCTAGCCTGGCTCTAGCCAAAAAGAACACAATCAGCCTACCAGCCGCTGCACATAGCCTCTCATAACACCACAGCTTGCTGCTTTTAATCCTCTGGGTTTTTTGGATTAAATAAATCAGGTATAATTTAGTAATTAGTGATTTTTGGAGGTGTTAATATAGGCTTTGGATAGAGTAAAGCTAGCTGTTTCTAATATTTCCGCTAAGCTAAGCTAAGCACCTATTTGCTGAAGCTTCATATTTGCCCTAAACATTAGAGTGGTAACAATCTCCTCAGAAAGAATGCAAATAAACACCTTTTGAAAAATGTTAAATTATCTATTTAATGCTGTACAGGTTGATCAGGTTGTTAAAATATGACTTGTGTTTATTTTGTTAGGTATACATTTATTTTTGAAGTATTTGTACATGCTATTCTATATGCTATGTTAAGGAGTAGCTACCCTTTTAACTATTAATGTTGAACTGAGATACAAGCAAACATGTCTCTATGATTCATATAAAACTGCAATGTCATAAAAAAACTGTCCAGACAGAGAGGGCACAGCTGAATAACTTTGATGTAATGCACAGACAGATGTACTCACAGCTGGATGGTCCCTGCCCAGAGTCTTCTCCCTGATGGCCAGAGCATCATTCAGCAGGTTGGCTGCCTCCTTGTATTTGTTCTGATCCCTGAAACAGACACAAGCAAACAAGAGTCAGACAGAAACACACCGACACTGATGAACAGACACGGACACAAAGAAAAGACACATAAACTATTCTAACATTTCCATTAACAGCTCATTATTTTCAGGTGACATGGTCCAAATAGCTTTGCGGCAGTTCCCACAGTCAATGCAACAGCCTGCTGACACCAAGTCGACCCACTCCCTCATGCCTGACTATTCCCTGCACTCACTATTCAATGGATAAGATTTGTGGAAGTGAAAAAAAAACATGGGTCCAACTCCTGTAGCTCTTGTGTCATTCTTTTGTTCCTCTTTTTCTTGAGTTGGGAAATTAACACTTCCCCTGTTCTATTAATGTACTGTAAATCTTTAGTTGTGTCTGCTATGTTTGCTATGTTCCACTTCTGACATAGAAAGGCGTTCATCTGTCATTTGGAGGTCCTATAGAGGCCTGTCACACGAGGCTTTGGGGGTTGTTACCCAAATGTTTTAAAGGACATACCACAGTGGTGCAAAAGACAACATGATGTAACCATTACCGCATATTTGTGCCTGGTATAGGCCCTCTTTTCTTACCCAGAGATAGCTGGGAAGGTGTTTATAAATACAAGATTGGCCCCCACATCTTTTGAAATTTTCTGAAAGAGCCTTTCAATGTTCATCACATCTTTTCAAGCTGTAAATTACTGAGAATCTCTTTTACCCACTAAGTGTGGGACGCCACTGTTGGTGACTTCCATCTCATTATTATTAGACACCTAGACAGTAATGTTATAAAAGCTGCCAGATCTGCTAATAAGCTACATTTCTGTAGGATCTGAAGGTTTCCAAATTGTGCTATGTCAGTAACAAGGTTAAGAAACATTCCTTTAATTGATAACTACAAAAACATCCTCCCAGCATTCACCAACAGGCTTCTACTCTGCTCTGAAATCCTGGGAAAGCTTGTAAAATAGTCAGAGTGGCCCGGGACTTCAAGGATTTATAAGTTGGTAAAGACTTGTTTTCATGGTGGTAAAAGTGTGATGGAAGAAACAGAAGAGTCACTGAATATTAGTCCCAACACTGACTGCAGTTGTGACTGTTGAATATTGTCACAGGAACCTGACAGAGAGAAAGTCTCTTACCGCATGTTAAAAATCTATAAAATATGCCTCTTGGATCGCTGGATGAGAAGGACCGAGGCCTAGATTAAAGATTTCATAGACTAACCTGTAAACAAGGGCGAGGATGTTGAGCATGGTGGCCACATCTGGGTGGTCGTGTCCAGAGGTCTTCTCCAGGTCTTCCAGGGCCTGTTTGCAGAGGGGCACAGCCACCTCGTACCTGCCCTGGGAGGCATACTGGATCACCAGGTTGTGGAGGGTCCTCAGACGAGCCGGGATCTCATAGCCTCCCTGCTGGGCAGCCGCTGCTGCAGCGCTGCCGTGACTCGGCTGGACTGGAGACACACAGGAAAGAGAGGGGAAAGTTCAGGACATACACCTCATAATCACATAATGTTTTAGCCATTAAGAATGTCTGATTTCTGCTCATATGAAACTGTGAAATGTTCCATGACAGGACAAGAAATCACAGGCAGAGTCAGTGCTACTAGTGATTTTTAAAATGCCACAAAGTCACACTTTCCTAAACCCCAAGATGACAACTTTGATATGCTTATTTTGTCCAATCAGCTGTCCAGAACCCAAAGATATTCAACTGACGGTCACATAAAACAAAGAAACCCTCAAATCCTTGTGCCTGGGAGGTTGGAAATAAGTCATGTTACCATTTTACACTTAAAAAAAATACCCAAAAATAGTTCATCAACGTTTTTTGTGTTGACTTTTGTATTATCTGTTTGAGTAGGAGTCAGACTTTATTTAAGATAACACAGCTTTCCTCCTGGTTCATTTTAAGAAGCCTCTGAAACCATTAATTATTCGTTTTCCTACAAATGGGTCAAAGCTGAGACCACAACAAACAAACACCGGCTGGCTGTTAACATAAGGCTACACACAAGATTATTCGCACATAAACAATGTCCTCATTCTGCTACGCTGCACAGCAAATGTGCTGGTTTCTGTGGGTCATGTTTAACAGGGTCAGGAGGACATGACAAGGAATGTCTCTCATGACATGCTGTCAGACTGTCTGTCGGTCAGTCTGGGTGTGTGTGTAAGAATGTATGAATGTGTGTGTGAGCAAGAGGTCAGGAAACCACCTGATTGGGTTTCTTATTAAAAAGGCAGGCAGCTCTATATTTATTCTGAAGAGCCTGTGGGGTTTAGAGAGGGAACCGCCCACTGCAGTAAAAACATCGTCCACAGTGGTGTCCCGACACCCTGTGACACCAGAACCACTCACACCACAGCAGCCTGTCTCCTCCTACACCAGCTCACAGCAATGAGACGTTGACAGCACAACAAAATTGGACAAAAATAGCAGAAATGTGTCCAACAGCATCTACTGAACAACACGACATACTGATACTCAGTGTTTGCATCTATCAACAGCTACAATATAATATGTTTTTATTGACACGTACAAAGGATGTTTAATTGTTTTTGTATCAATTAATCTTCCTGTTATTTTTCTAATCCATTAATCATTTAGACTATGAAATGTTGAAAATGTTAAAAACTGTGCTATATCGTAGGCAACTGGACTTGCTTGCGTTTCTTGAAGACGTTTCGCCTCTCATCCAAGAAGCTTCTTCAGTTCTAAATGACTGGTACGAAGTTGCAGGCTACAAACCCTGTGTGGGTGGGAAGGACTCACATGGTGGCCAGGTGGGTCAACGACTCACATTGTGAGCTTAACGACTCTGAAACTAAGAGCTCACGTGACCCCTACGATTCTGCAAGGGTTCCCACCCACACAGGGTTTATAGCCTGCAACTTCGTACCAGTCATCAACTCAACTGAAGAAGCCTCTTGGATGAGAGGCGAAACGTCTTCAAGAAACGCAAGCAAGTCCAGTTGCCTACGATATAGCACTTATGATTACCATGACCTGGATGACTGAGAATTTTCACCAACAAGTCGACATGCTTTATTCTGTGTTTTCACTACTGTAAATCACCTGTTCCATTTGTTTTGGAGAGGAAGAGACCTCTGCAAATAATTAAGCTCCCAGTAAAAACCTCATGAACAATGAACATTAAAGGAATTCTAACCAGGAGAAATTTCAGCTGGTTGCAATCTGACAATCCTCACTGCTAGATGCCACTAAATCCCCCTAAATCCTACACACTGGACCTTTAAACGACCAATACCTAAATCATGTTTGTCCAAATGTGTCCACTCATTACGTATGAGGTAAGCACTACATACAATCTGAAAACAGAGATGATGGAGAGATGACAGAAAAAAAAAGAGATGCAACAATGGTCAACAGCTAGACTACATGGTGCATGGTTGACGTCTTAAGCCCCGAAATCATCCACTGCATTACAGGAAGTGTAGGATTCACCATTTCTGGAGTTTGAACTTTACAAGGGACTAAAAGTTAAGATACCTTAGTCTCTAAATTTTTTTTGGAGATGCAACACTAATTCCTTGAACCCCCACTTTAATAATACTGCAGGTTCTACTGAAACGACAGGAGCAGGACGCTAAATCTCTACACGCTCATCCACTAACTTACTGTAGCTAACGAGAGTTAGCTAAATGATTGAAATGTAAATATTTGTACAGAGAAATCAGTGCATTTAAGCCCAAGGCCAATTTAAATAAAGGCAGAGCTGTCATCCACCATTATCTTCTTTCTTGCTGACGGCAATTTACCCAAACCCCAAAGCTTTTCAGGCAGTCTGAATACGCTCAAGGAGAAAAGACATCTAATCTACTCCAGACACACACTTTTATACACACACACACACACACACACACACACACACACACACACAAAGAGTCTCATGCAGCTCCGTTTCACACTGAGAGAGGATTAATGCCAATGGAAGCAGCATTCGATGAAGCGTTACTTCACCATGCACCGGCCTACTACTGCCTCACCATCCTCTCTCATCCGTCCAACCTCTCCATTCCTTCAAAAACAAACACTACTTTAAAGGGACAGTTTGGATTTTTTTCCATAGTCAGTGTATTACATACAGCAAATGAAGGTCAGCAAACTCTTAGTTTGGAGAAGCAGGCAGGAGTGCCAACACAGAAGCTTGGCAATGTACTAATGTGGACGGGGGCAGCAGCAAAATGTATTTTAGCAACCTACAAAAATCAGTGAGTTTAAGTGTGCACTATATTGAGATTATTTTCACTGCTTTACCTTGCCATCAAACAGCCCGTTCCTTTGGCACTATATTTCCTCTACCATAGAACTTTGATAGACCCAAGATCAGCTGTTTGGGCCAGACTATCAGTGGTTAATGGAAGAGACAATAAATACAAGAAAATAAAGTGGGTGATGATGACAGCTACAATGACAAGCTGTTTACTTTGGAGACAAGAGGATACCTTTATGAACCAGAGTTTCAAAGGAACTTTTGCAGACGGAGACTGAATGGACTGAAAGAGAGAGATGTGTAGCAGGGCTGTACCTGACTCAAAATAATGAGTCGAATCACATTTGTTTATTCAATTCGAATATTTGACTACTGTTCCTTTTTTGTGTTCCTTTGGAGCTTGACAGGTTGGACAGGGTTTAGCAGGATGGTCAGTGTGACAGTGACATTCACTCTGCAGCTAAATCTGGGGACCAAATCATCCCAAGAGGTACACTGCACACTGACTGCTCAATCTGAAGCAATCTCAGTCAACTGAAAGGTCTCCAGCTGATGATTCAAATCTCCGACTTTTAGGGGGCAGCCCTAATGTGTAGGAATAGAGGAGATCTACGGTTGAGAAAATGTAGTGCCAAAGGAAAGGGCTGTCTGTCGTCAAGGTAAAGTGCTTAAAAATATTCTCAATATAACGTACACTAAAACTTAAACTGGCTTTTTTTAAAGTTGCTAAAGCAAGTTTTACTGCAAACCCCCATCCTAAGCATTACATAGCTCAACTTCTGTGGTGATACTCCTGCTAGTCTCTACAAACTGGGAGCATGCAGACCGCCATCTACTGTAGGTAGTACACCGACTATGGATAAGTACCTCATACAATCTCACTCCAAAGAATCCAAGCTACCCCTTTAAACACTGCTGTATTTTAGAGCCATTTGATTAACTTTTATTTGAAGCCATGAAGAAGAACGAGGAGCGATTTAGTCTGGTGACATAAAACCAATAAACTACTGCTTCCCTCCAGGCTACCACCCATCTGTGTCTTATATTTAGTCCTTTGAGTGTTGCATATACCATCCTCAAATGTAGCTACTTGATGTACAGTACAGGCCAAAAGTTTGGACACACCTTCTCATTCAATGCGTTTTCTTTATTTTCATGACTATTTACATTGTAGATTCTCACTGAAGGCATCAAAACTATGAATGAACACATATGGAGATATGTACTTAACAAAAAAAGGTGAAATAACTGAAAACATGTTTTATATTCTAGTTTCTTCAAAATAGCCACCCTTTGCTCTGATTACTGCTTTGCACACTCTTGGCATTCTCTCCATGAGCTTCAAGAGGTAGTCACCTGAAATGGTTTTCCAACAGTCTTGAAGGAGTTCCCAGAGGTGTTTAGCACTTGTTGGCCCCTTTGCCTTCACTCTGCGGTCCAGCTCACCCCAAACCATCTCGATTGGGTTCAGGTCCGGTGACTGTGGAGGCCAGGTCATCTGCCGCAGCACTCCATCACTCTCCTTCTTGGTCAAATAGCCCTTACACAGCCTGGAGGTGTGTTTGGGGTCATTGTCCTGTTGAAAAATAAATGATGGTCCAACTAAACGCAAACCGGATGGGATGGCATGTCGCTGCAGGATGCTGTGGTAGCCATGCTGGTTCAGTGTGCCTTCAATTTTGAATAAATCCCCAACAGTGTCACCAGCAAAACACCCTCACACCATCACACCTCCTCCTCCATGCTTCACAGTGGGAACCAGGCATGTGGAATCCATCCGTTCACCTTTTCTGCGTCTCACAAAGACACGGCGGTTGGAACCAAAGATCTCAAATTTGGACTCATCAGACCAAAGCACAGATTTCCACTGGTCTAATGTCCATTCCTTGTGTTTCTTGGCCCAAACAAATCTCTTCTGCTTGTTGCCTCTCCTTAGCAGTGGTTTCCTAGCAGCTATTTGACCATGAAGGCCTGATTGGCGCAGTCTCCTCTTAACAGTTGTTCTAGAGATGGGTCTGCTGCTAGAACTCTGTGTGGCATTCATCTGGTCTCTGATCTGAGCTGCTGTTAACTTGCCATTTCTGAGGCTGGTGACTCGGATGAACTTATCCTCAGAAGCAGAGGTGACTCTTGGTCTTCCTTTCCTGGGTCGGTCCTCATGTGTGCCAGTTTCGTTGTAGCGCTTGATGGTTTTTGCGACTCCACTTGGGGACACATTTAAAGTTTTTGCAATTTTCCGGACTGACTGACCTTCATTTCTTAAAGTAATGATGGCCACTCGTTTTTCTTTAGTTAGCTGATTGGTTCTTGCCATAATATGAATTTTAACAGTTGTCCAATAGGGCTGTCGGCTGTGTATTAACCTGACTTCTGCACAACACAACTGATGGTCCTAACCCCATTGATAAAGCAAGAAATTCCACTAATTAACCCTGATAAGGCACACCTGTGAAGTGGAAACCATTTCAGGTGACTACCTCTTGAAGCTCATGGAGAGAATGCCAAGAGTGTGCAAAGCAGTAATCAGAGCAAAGGGTGGCTATTTTGAAGAAACTAGAATATAAAACATGTTTTCAGTTATTTCACTTTTTTTGTTAAGTACATAACTCCACATGTGTTCATTCATAGTTTTGATGCCTTCAGTGAGAATCTACAATGTAAATAGTCATGAAAATAAAGAAAACGCATTGAATGAGAAGGTGTGTCCAAACTTTTGGCCTGTACTGTAGGTGTGTGCAACAATGAACGTCTGAGAATTGTTTATGTAATCACGTGCGGGTGCATAATTATTGGATTATATGTTGTTGTTTTTTTAAACTGTGTTTATCTCAAACCTCACTTACAATTACCAACATTTAATTTCTACGGTGCCTGTCAACAATTCCCGATTTAAAATGAATCTTTCAGTGTTGGAAAAACTGGTAATCTGACACAGTTAGGTAACTAAAGACTAATGATAAGTACCTTTATTTTTATGTATAATTAGTTAACAGATTATCGTGCCAGAGGCCTATTTCTGCCAGATAATTGCTGTATCTTTTGGTATAAAGCCTCAACAAAATGAATTAAATAAAGATAAAAAATTTTCTAAATAATTCTTCTGCTTGTCCACCTTCTCTGTTTGCAGCTCAGTGACTTTTTGATATATCTACCCTTTACGCTGATGTTACCGTCTTAATAACTCGGAAGGGAAACGTCACCTAATTTATTTTTTTAATCATTATGCAGTACTGACCTCTGAAGTGACACTCCTTTTTATTGAAATTTATGTTGTGGAAAGTCAATCTTTTGCTCCCGCTGTTCCCCAACACAACTCACAGCTATATTCTATTAAGTCTGTCTCTCCTGTCTGGTCATCATTTATATTCAGCCCGTGCTGCTCAACACAGCGGAGAATTTATTAACACTGGTGGGGAAAATGCTGAAAGGCAGCATAATGAAGCCAGTTTTCCATCTAAAAACATGAAAAAAATGGAGTCCTCTAATTTGACACAGTATTCCAAAAACAACCTGCTCCGTTTCCTCTGCTCTACAACCTGCACTGCAGTCGTAATTTGGGCCAAATCACAGACAAGTCTGGATCAAAACCTAAAATTACACCCACGAAACACTGTAAGAGCGGGGAATTACCGCTGGACACATTCTCGTCGGCACATAAACAGTAGAAATGCTGGTTTGTTTGAAAGCAGAAACACAGAGGACAAGATGTTGAATGTAACCAAAAAAAAAAACAATATAAAAAAACTAACTGCAATAATACTTCTTTCACTTCCTCTTGCTGTTAGCGGCTCTCAACCCAAGGCCACTGCTTCCTTAAAAACAGCACACCAATGTTTAATGTTAGTCTTAAGGCTTGGTAATTTCCTAAAACAGCTGGTCACTGAAGTTTTTTGCACAACAATGGAGCTCTATGGCAGAGGAAGAAGATATGCATTGAATAATTTCTTGTATACAAATTAGCCCTTCTACCAGCCACTAAGTTTACTAAAATTATATTTAGCTTCTATAGTTATATTGCCTCTTGGATATCTTGCTCCTGTTTTGTTTGTCAAAGCCCTTTGTAAACTCTATTTTTAAAGGTGCTATATAAATAAAATTATTATCATTATTATGATTAAATGTTAATGTACCTCTCCAGACACATTTTAATATTTTGTTTCATGGAGTTTTCCCAAATAAATAGTTTTAAAAAATGAATAAAATGATCTGAAAATGTGCTGGAAGCAGATGAAGTCTCTCTCCCTCATTAAGAAATTCAGGATCTGGCCTCTGCCTCGTCTACCACCTATGCGTGCTAAGTTTTGCTTTCACTTTCTGCTTTCTCCAGCGCTGGCACAGCGCTAAAACAAAGTGTAAGATACGTCTGGCATGCTGCTACTTGTGCTTGGTTGACCGGTGAAGAAGCAGTGTGCATCAAGATGGCTAACGTTAGCGTCAGAGAAAAGTCTTATGTCAGACCCAGACTCAGATCAGGAGTCTGGCATGCACCAAAATCAGCGACTAGCAGACTGCAACAGAAAGCTAAGTGTAGTTAGCATCTGTTGTTTGTCTATGTTGTTTGTTAGCTTGTAACTAGCAGTGGCTGACACAGCATTAATAGCAGTGGAACACACAATAATACCTGCTACAACATTACAGTGTGTTCACATTGGTATGGTTAACATGCAAAAACTGCACACTCCACCACGCTTGCTATCAAAACTGTCACTATGCTAATGCTAACTCTACTCTGTGTACTGACACCTCCGCTCTGTGCTGGAGGTTTCAGGTTTCTTTGTGATGTGTTCCCTGTATTAGACAGCGACTGGCTTTCAAATGTGTGGGGTACCTGAGCTAGGTTGCCTGGCTTACATTTGAAACTCAGATTTTGGGAAGGTGAACAGACATCGACCCCTTCAGCAGAGGAACGTGAAGACAATTCTCTAGTGACAAACTTTGCACAGATACAAGTCAGTATAGTCAAGGTCAGACATTTTAGGGAACATTAAGGGAAGAAAAAACATTTTTTAATGGCAGGGAACTTTAAGTTTAAACACTTGGTACTTTATGTGCTCTACAGGATATATTTTCATTCTGACCAAACCTCCAGCTGGTAGGTTAAATTAAACAGTTTAACAAAGACGACACAAAGAGGACAAACAGAGCTGCAGTCTGACTCAGACAGTGATCTGCAGAGTGTGAGCCAGTCTGCTGTCCATTTTGTCAGCAATTTAAACTGGCTGACAAACTGGTGCCAGGAGCCAAATGGGAATTACCTTTGTACAAAAAACAAAAACAAAATCACTGCCAGGTTTGGGAACAAAGTGTGTGCTGTTTTTGTGGAGAACACAGGCTTGTAGGTCACCCTCTCTTAGCTGTCCCAAAGAAACCTCAAAGCTACAGTATAGTCCTTTAAATTGAGCCAAATTAGTGCTGGAGCTCTTCTAGTGGGCGTTGGACTTAATTGTAGTTATAATCCCGTTAAAATGGGGCTTTTGCATTTGGTTTCAGAGGACGAGCAGATTGAAGCTTATAAGAATTATGTGCTTTCACTTTTTTGCCAAATGTTTATATTTAAGAATTTCATTTTTATTCAAAGTTCATTACAACACCACTGTGGTCTTTTGCCAAACATTATTTCACTTGACTACAGCCACACAAAAAGAACACAGTTTAGAAATCCTGGAACTATATAACACCAATCTGGTTGGGAGGTTTTCACCCCATTTGGCCTCCTTCCAGGCTAAACTAGGTCCTGACTAATGGGCCTTTACAGCCAACACAGCTTTACTGTCTGGGTTACTGAGCTACTGAAAGACCACCCCATCAAACACTGAGGGAAGGGGTGGACATGAGGAGAGGAGCACAGAGTGGGAGAGTGGCAGAGCGAGGCAGGGAAAGCTTAAGTAGACAAAGATGAAAAAAAAAACAAAGATTTATGAGGCTTCAGAAAAGTGATACATGGCAGCAGAAACTCACCCTCATAAAATATGTGATATAAATTCTGACTCTGGGGACGTCCACTGACTAGACTTCGGTATGTTAGTGAGTGTTGCTGGTGCAGAGATTGAAGTTTTGTTTCCAAAGGAGAAATACATTTTAAAGCAGTGACATTTTCAAAATGACTGCACCCATCAGAAAATAAAAAAACATCCAATTTTTTAGACAAATCTTCACATCATTAGTCACAGCCTTCAACTACAAAGTATTAATGTTATGAAAGCTGAAGTTAACTTTGTCTTTCAACTATTCCTTAACACATTTTTTTTAAAGTCTTTCCAATTGACAAGAGCATCCCTACAGATACATCTGCATCCCAAGGCTAGGAACTACATTTCATATCTGGGTCCGTGAGTGAAAATGCGTGAGAATCCCCCAAAGAGTCGAGGGAACAAGAGGAAGGAGGGACACTTACTGCCTGGGGCTTGGTCGTCCTGATCATCTGGGAAGAGATCGTCCAGAGTCTCTTTACTGGAATCAGAGTCCTTCTCCTCCTGAGAGGGGAGTGAGGGAGGCATTGGAAGAGGAGGAGGAGGAGGAGGAGGAGGAGGAGGAGAGGGGAGAGATGAGGACAATGAATGAATTGACTCAATGTTCTCTAAACAACTGATGCAGTCATTCTGTAGCCTGGGTCCCGTCAAGCACATTTCAAAGTGTTAAAAGATATTGTTCCTATTGATATCTTTTAATCGACTCTGCTGCTGATGAGGAGTTCAGGGACATGACTCAAAAGCCCAAAATACAAAGGAATCAGTGGGCGAGAAGGTGCAGGAGGAAATAAGACTCTTTAACTTGTTTAGAAGCAGAACGTGTTTGTTCTTATCAGTAGTATCAGCTAATTGTTGGAAAAATAGCTTGCATACTTCAAACACAGACACATGACCACTGCTGCAGACAGTAAGGCGGTATTTCCCCTTGTTAGTTTGAATGTAGGCTTGTGTAGCCAGACCCATCTCCACTGCACTGTGTTTGCGCATTATCATTCTGCTAGAGGGGAAAGAAAAAGCTGTTTGTTGGTATTTCTTTAAACCAATGAAAAACATATTGGATGCAGTGATGGTGCCCTGGCAAAATAGTGTCAGAGGGGAACATTTGCATGTGGGGAAGCGTGCACTGACATTAGCCACAAAAAAACAGGAAGAGACATGTGTGATTCAACTTTCAGATAAAAACACAAACATAATTTGATAATCGTTGCTCTGGAGGTAAAGCCTGACTGTACTGTAACTCTGAAGGAACTCATTGGACCCTTTAAAACTACAGTCAAACTACAGCGGAGGCAGCCAATGGCATTATAGCATCAGTCTATGTGAGTCAGAGTAGTTTGAATGTGATGCATTCTTTAAATGAATCCATCTGCTCTCACTGGGCAGTCACCAATATATTATCCATCTTATTTGAATGACCTTCATCTGTCCTTGGTATGAATCAGTTCAACTTCTCTATTTCCAATGCAGATACCAAATCTAAAGGAACATATACATGCTGATACAGAGTACTGGTCCAATACAACCACTCTCCTTTTCCCCAAATTTAAAATCAGTATTACTCAATAAACCCAGTTGAAGCATTTTTATGTAAAGCAGCACAAGGCCGGGGATTGCTGCGGGATATTAAAATGCCTGGTCGAGCATATTAACCATGAGGACACGCTAACACACTCTGAAGAAGACTCAGGGACTCACAGATGGGGACAAGTCCTCGTCGTACTTCTTCAGCTGGTTCATGAACTCCAGGTGCTTCTTCTCCTCCTCCAGCTGGGCCACGCTCTGCTCGCTCTTCTGCAGCTTCTGCTGTGTCCCGGCCAGCTCGTCCCTCAGCCACTGGTTCTCCTGGCAGAGCCGGCGTACCTGAGCCCGAAGCTTCTGCTTCTCTGACTCCACCGAGCTCAGGTGGCTCGAGAGTGCCATCATCACCTGGACAAAAAAGGAGGGGAGGGGGGGTTTCTTTACACACCAGAATTGCTTCATAATTCAATTATACCACATATTTATGTCTTTGGGGTGACCATTTAGACAATATTCCCTGTATCCCTGAGCTACAGCGCTTGAACATGATCTCATATGTGTGAGTTGGCTTGGAACCACCTCGTAACAATATTCACAATAATTCCAAGTCATTCTTAGCTTCAAACATCCTGTAAGAACATTTACACTAAAACCCTCAAGTCCAGGGATATTCAAGACTATCTAAAGATTTTAAAACACCGTAATACCAGAATCCTTGATACATAAGATGCTATTAATACAATGCACAAAATGAATTAAACATTTTAAATGAGGAAAATAGCGGAAAGTTCAGTGGCAGAATCATGTATAAATTTGGGCACTAAAACTGGCAGTAACAGTACACTCCCCACCAGAACTAAATATGTGTACACTAACGTTATTCTGAGGCACTTTGGGTAAAAGCATCCACCTAATAACATATGGTGTGAGGTGAAAGGCTGGGAGGGGTGTAATCAGACAAAGAGTCTGAGGCACAGAGACATTAGGGGTGTTTGAGCACCAAGGTTGTGCAGAAAAATATGAATCACACTGTATTTTACAACAACTGCAGGCTACCCAAAAAGCTGAAGGTGGATATTAGAGTCTGCATGGTGCAGTGTATTGTATATTTAATAGGCAAAGCCTGCTGGGAGATAGAGATGAGAGGCTAGAGCATCAACAGTGACTCATCAGTGACTCATAGGCTGGTGTTTGCCAAGTGAGAAATGACACAATCGATTGGGAGTTTTCAAACTTTGTCTGAAAAAAAGGTGCATTATTAACATTCTTCATCTCTGAGGAGTAAAAGCTTCTCTCCTAACATCTCCTTCTTCAGGAGGATGTGGGAAATCTTTGTGTTTTTTCCACTAGTCACCTAGAGGAGAGTCTTAGTCTTTGAAAAACACTGATTTTAGAATATTATGTATTAAAAATCTAATTTAAGAAGATAACGAATAAGGCAACATGGTAGATGAACTTGAAGGATGAATTTAACAACTCCACATTAGAAATTGCATGTATACTTTATGCACAGTCACTCCTGCATGAATTTTATGCCCCAGCACCGGCAAGAGCCACAGCCATTATGATTTCTGTCCTTCTTTCCCTCCTTCTAGTTTGAAGTCTGTCACTCTAGCATCTTTGTCCACTGAAAGTACGGTACCATTAAACCGTCAAATAAGCAGAGATCCAGCAACAGAAATATCAACTTTATTTTCTTGAAGTGTAGAAATAATAATAATAATAAAAAAAAACAGTTGAATCTGGTACTTCTGAAGTTTTCCCCCTATAATTTTTACTGGATGAGCTAGATGAAAATTACAGCTAAAACCACTGCGTATCTGACATGCTGTTCTTGTCATTAGTTAAAAAAAATGCTCATCTTTCTCCTAGTTTTATCAAAATGTTGTTCAAAAGATTGTTCGTATTATGTGCAAGAAAAGGAATTCAAACATTACTCAAAAAAGCATGGTTTTTGATATTTCAGTTAATAATAACTCACTCAGTGGCTGACAGACTCCATGAAGGTACAGATACATACCTGTGCCTCGCTCAGCCCGAGCTCCAGCATCTCCAGGGACTTGCGTATCATGTGGGACTTCTCCTCCACCAGGACGCCCTCCTCGTCCTGCTTCAGGCAGCGCAGCGTGCCCAGCAGACCCTCCAGGATGGAGTGGTGCTCCTGCTTCAGGGCCTCCAGCCCCTGGATCACCTGCTTGGTCCGGGAGATGATCTCATCCTGGGACAGCTTCTCCCCAGGATCCTCCTCATCCTTCACGCACACCATGGTGGACATGTCCTCACGCATCCTGCGGGGAAAACGACAGGGAAAGGAAGGTTAATGTCAAAATGATGTATGAATCAGTTTCAGAGTGGCTAAAGTTGCTTTTACTAATGCAGGTTTGCAGCAGGTCCCCAAAGATCAGACACCAAGAAAATTAAATGCCAAAAGAATGTTGCAGTCTAAAGACTCTGAACTTGTAAATTAAACATAACATCTTTAATCGGGATTAACTTTTGCTACACTTTAAAAAAATCTGAGACAGGACCACCAGGAAAAAGGGACTTAACAGAGGAACACATTGTGGTTAATCAGAAATGTGTGACATATAGATTCATTTATTTATTTATGGACAGACACGTAACCCTCAGATGTTCAATTCAAAGTTGCATCCTCCTGACCTTTCCTGGTCTCATGGCCACTACACAGCCTGATGCATCTCTCTTTACAATCAATACTCGGCTCAGTGTGAGAAACAACATTGGCTTAATGAAAAGGTTAGACCCTGTTTGTATGACTGGAAAGTTCTTGGTTCAGGTTGAGAGATTTCAAAGGAAACGTTGAAGCTTCTCTCTCAAACGACACTTAAGGTGCCTTTGAGCGAGGTACTGACAGCAGCAGGGCGTGAGCGGCAGAAAAAGCTCAATAAACAAAGGTTAAACGAAATGTCGCATGTAAAAAAGGCTGTTTGAAGTGCTTCAAAAAACTGAGGAGTCATCACTCGAGATGCTTTAAGAAAAAGAGCGACTTTGGTGCAGCTGTGATGAAAAGTTTCAAACCAAACCACAGACAATAAACCTGCTGCACGCTGACAGTTCAAATCCAGATCTGAGGCTTGTGGGCTGCGTGTGGTTCACAGATAACAACAGATATGAGGGGAGGATTGTTAGAAAGGAAATCTCCGAGAGCTGAAATAACACAATGAGTGGCAGCTACCACTTTTTACAATTTATTATAGTGTTGCATCTTTAATATGAATTCGAGTTAGCATTTATTAGCTTTACCTGCACCTAGCCTGTTTTAATCTAACCTAAAATCTACAAAAATATTTCAATTAGTTTGCAGTCACCAATCACCGTACAGTGAAGTAAAACCAACCCTGAGCATTCATATTCATGATTACAATATCTCCAATAATACTCAGCGTCTTAGTGCTGCCATAATGCGGTCATAGCACATAATCACATCCCGAATCAGCCTTGGTGATTAAGGAGGGAGACTATTAGGTGTAGTAGGTAAAACTGATGCTATTATTATTATGCACATATTAGCTAAACACCGCAGGTTAATATCTGTTCCTCTGACATTGACCGTCAACACGCTCCACATGCACTCCTTCCCACACAATCCTGACTTTCTTTGCTTTGCATTCATCACACACACACACATACACACACCCACACAAACTTTAAGAAGATTATGACTGAGCGCTTCGGCAGCACTTGTAGTGAGCAGCCTAATAAATCTCTTCAAGCACACCAAACTGAAACTGAATAATAACAGAAACACTGACTTAAGTTCTGTTTTCCTGCATGGCTCTGTGGAAAACACAGAAATGCAACAACTCTTCCAGGTGACTGACTTCACATTACTCTTATCCTCAGTGTTGCCGTGATAAAATGTGTTGACCCAGCTTGCCCACCTGAGAATAAGAGCTGCTATGGCATCAGGTGACGACAGATAAGCAGACGTGTCCCGAACTGCCTTCGATTTCACATTTCAGAAGAAGTAAAAAAAAAAACAAAAAAAAAACAAACAATAGCTGAAGACTGCCCGCAGCAGACGAGGCAGACGGAGGGAGGGTTACAGCTCTGATCGCTCCATGTGACTCAGCAACCAGCCTGCAGCCTATCAGCTGACAGCTGGGCAGGAAACAGTGTGTGCAGGAGATGGAAAAACAGCAGCTTCAGGTGAGCAGAGCTGTGCAGCACGAGGGGGTTTCCAGTGAAATTAACTTAAATAAATGCTTAATATTAACCTCAAACTTCTACTGTTGCGCCAAACTACATGTACCTAACATTGTAGGCAAACTGATAAAGCAAAATTATTAGTGTTTATCCTGCTGCTGGTGTAAATGTTTCACTTGTTTCTCAAATTCAACATCAGTTTCAAGAGTGCAATTATTTTCTCATGAACACCTAAAAACAGAAGAATTAGAGATGGATTAACCTGCTGACCGTTTTCTCGACTAATTCGTTCATCATTTGGTCAATAAAATGTCAGAAGGAAGGGAGACATGCACATCACAATCCCCTTAAGTCTACAGTAACATGTACAAATTGCTTGTTTAGGCCAACCAACAGTCGAAAATATTCAGTTTACTACCAAATAAAATAAAGAAACCACCAAATTCTCACCATTAGGAAGCTGGAAGAGGGCGACATTTTACATTTTTGCTTTAATTTTACTATTAAATTATTACGTAATTTGACAATAGCCAATCTTGGAACCCATCGGCTATCATTTGACGATGATATAGCCTCTGGGGGCGAAGGCCAATATTTCAGGCTGATCTGATGAAGTAAGCTGATATCTGGGCCAAGACTTCCTCTTCCATGTGCTGGCCATTCTGCTAAAAAAGCTAATATAAGACTAACTCGCCGTCAAACATGGCCGATGGGTTCCAACTTCTAAGACTGCATTTCAACCAATGCGTTCCGCCTCTCCACACGGACTGATTCCCCGCCGTTGAAACATGTTTGGTCATTACTAGTCGGACTACAAACAGACTACAAACGGAAACCAGAACACAGAACACTGTCTCGTTGTTGATTCTTCATACATATGTAGATATATCTGATTTATAGAGATTAATCAAGCAAACAGCACACAAATTATGTCATCTGCAATAAAAAGTCATACCTATCTTGGTGGAAATTTTACAGCGACCACCAAAACACTTAAATTTCCACATTTCATTATGCTGCAGAGAACAGATGGACTGCTTTAGTAGTAATAAATTATTGCTGGGGCCACTAATCTATTGGTTAATTAAGGAAATGCACATCATGTCAGTTAATGTCAGTGTTTCCATCACATCCATTCAGCTACAAGTCCCTCACTGCTGTAAATAAGCTGAAAAACTGATAAGCAGATCTTATTGCACTGCTCGAGGGGAAAACATTGCCTGATATCAAACAGAATTGTCAACTCGTTACACTCCTTTTCCAATTTGTCCACTTGGATTCCAAGGTCTGGACCCAGGCAAGGAAAAACACATAACCTTCAAGCTGTAAGCATCAAAATAAAAGTTGTTCTGACACTGTGAAACCTATTCAAATTAGGTCTTTGAATGGCTCATGCATTTGACCTATGGGTTTGAGTCAACGCCAAGAACACAGAGCAAGGTCAACCACTGCAAACATCCCAAAGTGCAAAGAACAAGACAGAAAACAACTATCACTGCAGGCTGTGTAATACAGAAGTGAAAGTGACAGCACAAGCCTTTCTTTCCTGCTCTGATCCAACAGTCCTTTATTTCTGGCATCAGATGAGTCTCAGAGCACAAAGCACCACGGGGAAAGGCACGGAAAACTACTTCTGATGTTAGAACTTTTGAAATGTAAATAGCTGGCTTGGAGCGGAGCGCCTGGGGACGCTGCAGCTCCTTGTGTAAGCAGGTTAAGGCAGTGATATAAGGCGATGGGGAGCCTGGTGGGGTATGGATGGGGAGGGTGGGTTGTGTTTGGGACCAACGAAGAAGAGGAACAGTGAGTGCTTGCTCTGGGCTTCATGTATGAGGATGGAGCCGGCAGCAGGAAGAGCAGCACTGCGAGGAAACAGTCTTAGTCAGCGATGTGTGGGCTGATAGCCATTAGATGATGAGAGCTGTGATTCACTTTTACAGAGAAAGAAAGTCTGAGAGAGCCTCTCCAAGTTACATTTACTAACTAATTATTACTCTTAAATGATTTATGATATTCTCATTGATGTGTGCTTGTTTGGCTGCTTTCCATCCATGATTCAAATGACGCAACAGTTCTTCTACCTGTATCCTGTCAACGAAAACATTTTGCATTTGCTGTTTGCTCTGTCTGTCTGGTATAAACAGCTTTAGGTAGGGTGGTTAACAATACCAGCGCCGTCTACAATAGGGCTGCAACTAACAATTATTTTCACTGTTGACTAATCTGTCGGTTATTTCTTCAATTAGTCGACTAATCATTTTATCGAAAAATGTGTTAAAATGTTGAAAAATGTCGGTCTGTCTCTCCCAAATCCCAAAATTTATCATCTAATGTCTTGTTTCGTACTCACGCCAAAGGTTTTTAGTTCACCGTCATGGGAGAGTGTGTAAAGCTGCCAATATGTGAATGTAAGAAGCTGCAATAAGAGTATTTTGGGGTACTTTCATAGTATTTTCTATGAAAAATGACTCAAACTGATTAGTTGACTCCTAAAATAGTCACCGATTATTTTAATAGTCGATTAGTCATCGATTAGTCGACTAATCATTTTATCGAAAAATGTGTTAAAATGTTGAAAAATGTCGGTCTGTCTCTCCCAAATCCAAAATTATGTCATCTAATGTCTTGTTTCGTACTCACGCCAAAGGGTTTTAGTTCACTATCATGGGAGAGTGTGTAAAGCTGCCAATATTTGAACGTAAGAAGCTGCAATAAGAGTATTTTGGAGAACTTTAATAGTAATTTAAAAAAAAAAAAAAAAAAAACGATTAGTAGACTACTAAAATAGTCACAGATTATTTTAATAGTCGATTAGTCATCGATTAGTCGACTAATCATTGCAGCCCTAGTCTACAATAGCCCAAAACAAAAAAGAGCGCAACATACAAAGGTAAATCCAGTGCTGACAGCTGAACACTTGCACCAAAGACAGACAAAAAATAAGTTGTCTGTAAAAAAACACAAAGAAATCTATAACCCATCACACTTGCGGACTGACACTTTTAAGCAGAAATTACAGATTTTTTTTCACTACTACAAGATACGGAGCAACATCAGAATTCACTTTGAGTCATGTCCTTGGCCACCTGACAATTTTAAGTTCAGTTTCCACTCTTCTTTAAGCTCTGTTTTGGCTTTTTCACTGTTAAATATTCTTCTTTCTTCACCAGCTAGTCTCTGACTTAACCCGTCCACCAACTGGCGCGAGGCCGAGAGTGTAAAGAAGGTTTATCAGAGCTTTTAGCTGAGAACGACCCTGATGAGAGCCGCAAGAATGAACCATATTATTACAGTTGCAGTCCAAAAATCAAAATCAATTGGCTTAAAGATGCTAATAAACTTCATAGAGCTGGAGGGAACTGCAGATAGAAGTACAAGTAGTAGTACTGGCACTTTATTCATAATGCACTGGAGCAAATTTAGCGATTGGTGGCATGTGTGAAACACTTTCTGTTTTTATGTGAAGCATAAAAATGAGAAATAAAGAAATCTGAAGTAGTCAAGTGATCCTTTGTTAATACAAAAATACTGCTAGCTGTATGGCTACGTAATGGACAAAAAAAATCAAATATGATATGTTTGACAAGATGCCTCAATGGTATTACAGCGATATTGTAGGATTGACAATTGGTGCTTTCACTAATCATCAACACAATGAGATTTTTGATAAATAATCATCAATAATGTGGATGTAATGACTAAGTCGGTAAAGGCAACTGATAAAACAGTTAGAGCAGCCTGGTAAGTTTAGAAAATTACACCACTTTACTATAATTTGGCCTTTAAAACCAGGAAAAAGACAACACTTAACAATGTCATGACATCCAAAATAAAACATGACATCAAGTCTCATAACACAATAGATGTAATACTGATATGTTTTTACAGCCCGAGATATCCACATTACAATTCTCAATACTGTACGCGTATATCTGTCACTGTTCCTCTTGAACTTCAACATGCTGCAGTCTTTGATTTCACCACTTCTGTACAAACATCAGTCTTACTCAACTATCAAGCTTTTACATAAACATCATGTGACTGTAGCTTCAGGAAACAAGAAAAGGGAAAACGAACCAGGCAGCCACGAGACCTGACGCTGCACAGCTGACACACAGGAAATGACAAGTATGCTTGGTATCAATAATGGACTGATTCGGTGTTCTGTGTCTGGTGGACACGAGGCCCTACAGGCGACACAACAATAAAACTGAAAACTGAGAACACCTAACCCTGACACAGGAACATGACTAATAGTAATTTATGTGAATTAATTTGCTGCTGTGTTAAACTACGTGTCATCTTCTGAAAAATGAGCTGCTCACATGACAAGAGCACTGATGATTTCTTTTTATATTTCCGTGAGCGAGCCTCGGGCGAGATTAAATTTATCATCTGAATCAGTGAAGTACTTTAAGATGCTCTGATCTACAGAGACAGTGGTGGCACCGCTTCTTACTGCAGCACCCTGAAGGCTGAAAGATACCAAGAGAATATATTGGATTTATTTCCTACACAGACACTGACTCTGATGTATAATGTGCTTCTCTACAGATTCAAGTTTCAGGTTTTAAACTGGGTTAAAAAAGAACTTTGAGACTGCACGAGTTCCTCCCAGTTTCCTCATTAGGGTATTAAATACTTCTGTGCCGCTCTGCCAGAGATTTGTCATAGCTGACAACATCATTTCACACTATTCAGATTACGCCAGAGCCTTTATGAAAGAGCTGATTTGTGTGATTGGCACATGACAGCCCCGTCTGACCATGAGGTCGTGACATCTATTTGTTTGACATGGATTTATAAAAATCTGTGTGACCACGAAGTTTGATCAACACCTCTCTAAAACAGTTTCAGCACAAATTGAACCGTATAACCTTCATGAAAAGAGTATAGATTGCACAGAGCTAGACTGACAACTGAGTGTATTTTAAATTAGTCAAAGACTGTGGTTTTCTGCAGTCGTGACACACGATTAGAAAAACAAGTGAGGACAAAAGCATTTCCTTTTTTGCATCTAATGTCTCTAGTGCCTTTATGTTAATTTTAATAACCAAGAAATTGGCTGGGCTGATGTATCAGACGAGATTTGTTTATCCAGGTGTATATGTCAGCCAATAAGTAAAAAGAAATTCACTGTAATATCTCTGCAAGTACGATGTGTAAAGTACGCAAAGGTAAAATAAAAATGTACTACACCTGCAGTCAGTGTCAGGTTTTTGCAGACATTTTCTTTAGTTGTGTGCTTCACCTGCAGAAGCACTCTTGTCAAGCCGACCCTGCAGCATTACAACAAAATCTGCAGCGACAACACATAATTATCATTTCCCTCCAGCAAGAGATGCACACACAAAACCTTCTGGGATCTCTGAGCCAACAACAAGCTATCCCAGGAGAGCGGAGGGGTGTTATCCTGGAGGAGGAGCCCTGCAGGTTGTCATGAGCACTCCCTTTGGGTGGATTAAACATTAAAGTCTGCAGGGCATGGTAAACAAAAGTCAGACATACCTGTGTGTCTGAGATTTTCTGCCCTGTAGTGTTCACTCATAGATTGTGTCTTAAATCTCAAATATTCATAAGACACCTCTCAGTGTTTTTTGGGATTCCCAGCTGTGAGTGCCACACTGGGATGCACTGTCCCTCTGAAGCTGTGTCCTCAACACAGGCAGCTTTCACAGCCCTCAACCCCGCTCTGAATATCAATGAAAGAGACATCCAACAATTATCACATGACAAACATCAGGACTTTCTGGTGCTGCAGTGGCCCAACAAGTGCATCCTTCCCTGGCATGTTTGTAAGTCCATGGCCGTGTAGTTCCTGCTGCTTTGTCCCAGCTATCTCGCTTTCAAATGGATTAACCTGAAGAACCAGTTAGCCAGTACCTCCTGTCACACACTCACCACAGTGCTAACCCTTAGCTAGCACTCTCAGTGACAGTTAATGTGCTTAAGGCGTCTAATTCCTGCAATTAACGTAAACACCGACCACACATCAAAGACGCTTTATCTTTAAAAACTATGAAGAATTATATTGATTAAGCTGCCTGCTGTTGGAAAAGATGACACTTGAAAACAACGTGAAAATTCCTGGTAAAGTGGTTAATTTGCTAATGATACGATTCCAAGAAATACACGGAGCCATTCTTACCGTTCTCTAGGACATCCGTTGCCAATGTAGCTTCACTGTAACGTCCGTTTTTCTCGCCTTTTCACCGTCTAAATCACGTCTTTTTGTAAATGAAGGCGTTGCTCCTTTGACCCACAACTCTTGCTGATAAGAGTGAAAATATATAAGTTATAAAACACAATATCCAAACTGTGTCCGGCTGGGATATGTTCTGCCGACTGACGCTGGGCTTCACCGCATCAACCGCCGTTAATGATGACCAGCTAGCTACATAGCTAACTGTCAGAAACACTGACTTTAGTCGGAGCCATACAGGAAAAGCCTGTTCTCCGTCGGTTCCATGGCAGGAACAAGTCCCTGAAACTAACTTGATGGCGGCTTCATGGGGCGAAATGAGGAGTTGACGAGTCGCCGGTGAAGATGACAGCTCGCTGGTCCACTGGCTGGATGACTGACTGACTGCGCGGTGCGTGAAAATGGCGTTAACCGGCGCCCCCCTCGCTCTTCCTCTATAATGATGTCATCCCTGTCCGGATTAAAGGGGAAGCTGTGGTGCAAACTGAGCCACCGCCAGATTTATTCACAGCTCAACGCTTCAACAGTTAACACACAAACTTAGAGAAGATACTCACACCATCAAGTGTGCAATATCATTTTTAATATCCTAATAAATTCTTACATACTTTACTCTCTCCATATGATGCAAATTGTACATATGTTTTATTTTTATTTTTCCACTCAGATAAATATTGTGTTGTACACAAGTAGCATAATACACACGCATATATACATTTCTAATTACTACTTTTTACATACTTTACATACCAGTGTTATTTTACCAAAATGCACATATTTTTACATACTTTACATAATAGTTTTACACACTGTAGCACAATGCGTGTATTTTTATATTGTTGAATATTTTGCATATTAGTGTTATTGTAGCATAATGCACACATTTTTATATTTTTACATATTTTACATACTAGTTTTGCACACTGTAGCATATTGCACATATTTACATATTTTTATATACTTTACACAGTAGTATTATTAAGATAAGATAAGATAAGATACACCTTTACTGATCCCATAATTGAGAAATTCCAGTGTTACAGCAGTCAAGGAGAAAGAGTCAGATTAAAGATTTCAAAATTAAACTTAAAAAACTTAAATAACTAGGCATGCAAATAAGTACAAAAATACAAGAGACAGCGATAAATAACAATAACAATAACAATAATAATAATAATAATAATAATAATAATGAAAATAATAGGAAGTGGATAATAATGAGCAGCAGTGAATGAAAATGAGCAAAAAATGAGCAGTGGATAAAGGGAGCACACCTAGTGCAAGTGATTGTATGTGCAAAACAGCAGACAGCTGTGGTGTCCATAAAGTGTCCATAGTGTCAGTAAAGTGTCAATAAAGTGTCCATGGTGCAGTCTACTGTGAGCAGTGCTGGTTATGTAGCCTGACAGCAGCAGGCAGGAAGGACCTGCGATAGCGTTCCTTCACACACTTTGGGTGAATCAGTCTATCACTGAAGGAGCATTATTATTATGGCACATTATTGTGCCATAATGCACATATTTTTGCATACTTTACATTCTAGTGTTGGTGTACCATAAAGCACAAATTTTGTTTTTTTTTATACATAGTTTACACACTAGTTTTACACATTGTAGCATAAAGCACACATGTAAATATTTTTACATACATCACATTAAAGTGTTATTGTAGCATAATTCACATATTTTTTACAGTTTTACATACTTCACATACTTGTTTTACACATTGTAGCATCATGCACTTATCTTTATATTTTTACATACTAGTGGTATTTTATCATAATGAAATATATTTAACATACTTAGAATATTAGTTTTACACATTGTAGCATATTGCACATATTTAAATATTTTTATATACTTTACACACTAGTATTATTGTGTCATAATGCACATATTTTTTCATACTTCTAGTGTTAGTGTACCATAAAACGCAAGGTTATTTATTTATTTTTCACATATTTTACATACTAGTTTTACACATTGTAGCATAAAGCAGACATGTAAATATTTTTTACATATTTTACATTCAAGTGCTATTGTTGCATAATGCGCATATTCAACATACTTAAATTAGTTTTATACATGGTAGCATAATGCATATATCTAAATATTTTCACATACCTTACATACTAATGTTATTGTGGCATTAAGCACAAATATTTTTATTGTTACATATTTTACACACTAGTTTTACACATTGTAGCATAATGCACATGTATAAATATTTTCTACATACCTTACTACTGGTGTTATTGTGCCATAATGTACACATTTTTTATATTTGTACATACTACTACGTGTTTTAGCAGCATAATGCACTTTTACATACATTTACTGTTTTTACATATTTTACATACAAGCGTCAAACATATATATCATTTTATTTTTATATATCTATATAGATATATAAAAATGTTTTGTAGTGTACATACTTGTTTTACACAAAGGAGTATAAGACACATTTTTATACTTTTACATATTTTACATACAAGCGTCAAACATATATATCATTTTATTTTTATATATCTATATAGATATATAAAAATGTTTTGTAGTTTACATACTTGTTTTACACAAAGGAGTATAAGACACATTTTTATACTTTTACATATTTTACATACTTGTAAAATGTGCATGGTGCACATATTTTTTTGTTTAGAAATGATTCTCTTTGCTAGATATCTGCGCAACTGTAACCAAATTAATTTTACCCCCAAAGGGATTGATAAGATATTTCTGATTTCTTTAGTAAAAGTACCAACACCACAGTTTGGAAACATTCTTACAAGTAAAACTCCTGCATTCAATATCTTACATGGTTACAATTATAAGCACCAAAATATACTTAAAGTGGGCCTACCAAAAGTTAAAAAAAACCTCAATACGCAGAATGAGCCATTTAAAATTACACGACTATATTATAAATTACTGATGCATTAGTGTTCATCACTTAAATGTTGCTGCTGGTATTTCTAATAACTTAATATACTGGTGGGTAAATTTATCTGTAATAATACATCATAAAGTACTAGTTGATTTATGTTTTGTATTGATAATCTGGATCTGTAAAGTAAAAAGACTCAAGTAAAGTACAAGTACCTCAAGTTTGTACTTCAGTACAGTACTTGAATAAATGCTCTTTGTTTCATTTCCCCGCTGGTTACTAAGTACAAGAAAAGACATCTGGCCTAAAATTAATTTGACTTATTAACACTCTCATCTACAGACAGTGAATCACATTTTAAGCTGATCTGTTTTGAGTGTAAAAAATTTTATTAATAAACTATACGTATTAATCTGTAAAGTATCTTCAGGCATCAGATAAAAGAAGTGTAGGGTAGTGAAAAGTTCAATATATCCCTCTGTAATGCAGTGGAGCAGAAGAATGAAGTACAAAATTGTATAAAAATAAGGCACTTAGGTAAATGTACTTATTTCCACACTAGTTATTATCATCCAATATTCAGTTAAAACTCTGTAGTTTTACAAAACCTCACATTTCTGCACACAACAGTACAAACAGCTGCAACAGTTCTAATTGATGTTACATACTCTTTCTCTCCATGTGACACATCTTAAGGTAAAGTTCACACGTACCCTCTGCCCAGTTTTTGGGTTATTACTGTGGTTTAGCTGATAATGTTGTGATCCAACATACAGCAACACCTCAGACCTGAAATCTAAGATTAATCAGTGATTCTGTGCTTCAAGTAAATGCAGAGTAGCTGATAGAAAATAAGACATCTAATAATAAGTAAAATGTGGGTTTATAGTGAAGTGCAGGCAGGTGTAAATACACTTAATAGATTTCTTTATTTGATGTTTCTAGTGAACGCCCTGCTGCTGACGGGAAGCTCCTCTAGAACACTTTTAAAATGTAATTATAAGAAAGAACTGAATAAATCAAATCAGCATTTTGTCTGTCTCCAAGTGAACGCTGAAAATAATTCGGTCCCTGAGAGCGATCGATCGAAGCAACCACACATCAGAAATAGAAGACAACAATGAGACAGACAAAGCGACAAGATACGAGAAGTAGTTAAATAACAGAAGTAAAAACAAAGATAGAAGGTTGGGTCAGAACTTTATTTTTTATCAGGAGTGCTGTTTGTTTTGCTGTGTTTTTCAGTAACAGTCCTCCACATGTTCTTCAGGGTGACTTGGGCCATGAGCAAGGTGATGGTGAAGTTACGCCGGTACCATTCCCTGGACACAAGAAGGAGGGGATATGAGATTTAGAGGACGAGTGTTTGAGTTAAAACCAATCGTACAGTCTGACTTTTGAAATGAGAAAAAAAATACAGTTTAACAAGGATTATTGGGGTGGGGGAGCCCTTCTGGAGTTTCCATGTTCTCCCCGTGTCAGTGTAGGTTTCCTCCAGGTGCTTCAGCTTCCTCCCACAGTCCAAAGACATGCAGGTTAATTGGTGACTCTAAACTGTCTGTAGGTGTGAATGTGAGTGTGAATGGTTGTCTGTCTCTATGTGTCAGCCCTGGATAGGCTCCAGCCCCCTGCGACCCCTAACAGGATATGCAGTCACAGAAAATGACTGAATGTTCTAATGGCTACATAATTCATGATGCTACAGCAGCTAACCATTAGCATGAACAAAATTACAAAGAGAAGGAATACATGTAGATACACTGATATTTCACTGCACAGCAAAGTTAAATATAAGTTTGTTTTGCTGGAGCCTCTATTTCTAATGATCTTAGATAGACTGAGCCAAGAGAGCAACAACACCTCAGGGTAGAAATGTTATTTCTTTGATTCACTCTAATCTGAGACAATATCAGGAACAACACAGACGTAAATCAGAAGTAAAGTTTGAATCCCACGCACAGAACAATAAAACTAAGAGCAGCTGTGGAGGTGATGTGTGTGGGCTGCAAACATCCCTCTTTACTGAGAGCCTTGAAACTAGTCAGCCACTTTGCAATTCTAATTCACAGAAAGCTCTTCAAAGCCTGCCATGTTTGCTATTCTCTATACACGAGGTACAGTATATAACTGTTGGTGCACAGCAGCAGCTCCCGCTGAGGGAGAAATACCCACCCACCGAGCCAGCGGCACTGTGGGAGACTCCCAGCTGCAAAACAAACTCACTTGTTATAATTTGCATGTCGTATTCTGTTTGTGTCCAGGAAGCTTTTGTAAAACACCGCCATTTCTTCACTGTTCAGGGACCGCCGACGTCCTGACGAGGGGAGAGGAGACACAGAGGACGACATTATACTCTCATTAAGACACTGATAATGTTTACATCACCAGATGGTACAAAAACACATTTTAATCAAAGGATGAGGAGGAGGTGAGGAAGGAGAGGATAGGAGATAGAAGGAGGGAGGGAATGAGCTGAGTAGAAAGGAGAGGAGACAGTGGGATATGAGGAGGAAGGTGAGGAGACAGGAGAGAGGAAAGGAGGTGAGGAGGGAGGAAACGAGACAGAAGGATGAAGTAAGGGGAGAAGAAAGGAGGAGAGGAGGTAAAATATAAATTTTCAAGACAAATTAAAAACATTTGGAGCCAGCAGTTCTAAAATCATCAGTTTTTTTGTTGGGTCTCGCAAAACCAGGAAGCTTTTTGATCGCCGGCTGCAGCCTGAAGCTTCCTGGGTGAAAAAGACCCGAATTTCTCTGTGACGTCGTAAAATCCTCCTGATTGACTGCACACAGGAGGAGGAACCGACGTCACCTGAACCATCAGATCTACGTCTGAGATAAAAGTGTCTCACAGAGAGTGAGTGAATTTACAGTGTTTCCACTTTCATACATGTAGAAAATCAGCATGTTCTCACCTTCCTCATCACGTAAAGTCAAGCCTTTTGCCTTCAGCTGTGAAATGATGAAAGCCTCTTTCTCCTGCAGAGATAATAAACATATGGCTTCATGTTTATCTTACTTTATATTTTACAAGACACAAACAAAAAGATTGATCCATAACACAAACAACAAATAAAAAACAAAACAAGAGTTGATGTAAAGGAGTTAGGACACTTAAATCAGAAATTGATTTTTCTGTCTCTTCTCTCGGTGGCTGTGAAGCACTGAACATATTCAGACAGCCTTTATTAACCCTTTGAAACCTGAGCAGACTGGCTTCATTTAACCCAAAAAACAACAACAACAAAAAAACATGGAAAGAAGACGATGGGACACTTAAGAAATGAGCGGAAATTTAGCAACATGTTAAAACATTACAAGAAGTAACTTAAGTAACTAAGAAATTGTCCAAAAATAAGCCAAAACAGAAAAGGTAAAAATGACGAAGTAAAAAATTAAAAATTAAATAAAAAAATAAAAGCCAAAAGAAAAAGTTATCTGATAATAAGCAACAAAGAAAAATAAAATTAATCAAATTGCTAAAATTGGACTAAATGATATCTACATTTATTTACTGTCACATAATTTTTTATTACTATTTTATTATATTGTATTATTATTATTAGAACTTAACATTTTCCTTTATTTATTTTTCAAAAATAATTTTCTAATAACACTTTTCTAATGCTGCTAATTGCCTTTTTCTAATATTGAAATCAATCTAATTTCTGGTTGGTTTAAATTCTTTGAACAGCATTTGAATGCCGCACAAGATGGATGTTGATCCAGGTTTAAAAGGCTTAATGCAAATTACCTTTTCAGCTTTTTAAACAAGCCCATTTGCCCATTCTTGAATAGATGGAGTGACACCGTCTCTACATTCGCAGAAAATCTAATCTAATGTTAAGGTGTTGATCAGGCCACGTAGACAGTTCCTCTATTACACAAAGTATAACATTTGAAGAGTATCACATAAAATAAAAACACCATATGATTTTTAAATACCTTCGCTGTTAAATACTATCAAACTAAAGGTATTTAATTTCTCATAAAGTTTTAAGCATAACTGCAGATATCACCTGTTTTCTACTGACACCACATACCAGTGTTTTGTTGTGCGATGCTGCCCTCTGCTGGACAAAATAAGAACATACATGCTGTGCATAAGAGCTGAGCAGGCACAGGACACCAACATTCACTGACATTAAAGGTAATAATCAGTAATAATGATGACATTGTTGATGTGATAATATTCCATCAAACTCTCTGTTGAGGTCAGAGGTCAGCAGCTCTGGAGCCAGCAGGGAGGATGAATGCTAATTCAGAGGCTTTGCTCTGTGCCATCCTGCTGCACTAACATTTACATTTGCTAAGTTGCCTTTCCACAAACATCAAATGCAGCAGAGGAATTTTCTTGAGAAACACGACGTTGTATTCACGCTGCCTTAAAGGAACAGTGTGGCAGATTCAGTGGTATCTAGCAGTGAGGACTGCAGACTGCAACCATCGGTTCAATGGAAGCTAAACAGCTCATTCTAAGGTAAAACAAACACAACAATTCTGATTTTCAGGCGATTATACACTACAGAAAACATACGTATTATATTGTAGTCCATTTCTGCCGATAACCTTACTCACTGGACCTTTTCTGCCATCAATCAAAAACACATTCTCACCTTGCTGAAGCTGATGTTCTGTTTGGTCCAGAACTCGTGGTTCCAGTCCTCCGTCTCCTGCCTCAGGTGTCTCAGACGTTTCTCAAGCTCTGATTCGTTCTCAGCAACACGATAGACGATCGGCCGCAGGTTGGACAGAGTGTTCGGTGGACCGATCCAGTCATGTGTGGTGCTGGGTGCTGGTCTCAAGGCAGATCTCTACAGAGAAATAAATACATAAAAGGTCACCCAAAACAACCTACATAACGATGGTGAAGAAGTCATCCAGGTCATAGTAATCTTAAGTGCTATATCGTAGGCAACTGGACTTCTTGAGTTTCTTGAAGACGTTTCACCTCTCATCTCAGCAGCTTCTTCAGGTCTAAGGACTAGTGTAGAGTCACAGGCTTTAAACTCTGTGTGGGTGTGAACCCTTACAGAGTCTGAGTTTCAGAGTCGTCAAAGTCTCACGTGAGTCGTTGACCCACCTGGCCATCACGTGTGTTGTTAGGGTTAGATGGCTCCAGCTGTGAATGGGTGTGAATTTGTCTGGGGAGGGACCCCATGACGGCACAGTGGGAGGATGGTAAGTGGTGTCGTAGGCCACCTCCTCTGTTAAACAATGGTCCTTCCAATTTGACATGAATGGCTTCTTTCAAGGCCCTTTTAAATAACCATCACCTTTAGATCATCACCTTTCTACGGTGGCCCCGAGAGCCCAACAATCTGCAACTTAAAAGAGAACTCCACCCATTTAGCACTGAACTCCTACAACACTGTCAAACTCAAGATGAACAGTTTTTTAAAGGATCAAATTTGATATAGCCAAACTAGAGATATCGTCTTCTTTCTTGTCACAACCTGAGGCCAACATTACCCATAATGCAACTGCACCGCCAGCAGTTGGGTTGGAGATTCAGGTGTGTTAGAAGTAAAATTAAAAAAAGGAAAACTGGGAGTCTAAAACTATTCTTCCACTGAAAAGTACAATAACTACAATTTTAATTATTTTGATCAACTAATTGAAAGTTTAATAAAGCATTGACTTTTTTAAATTAATGATTGGAGGTTAAAAGAAAAGTAGAATCACTGCAATACTGCACAGTCTATATTGGTGATGATGCTAATCAATGCTAATTATACACATTTCCCAACACATACAACTTAGCATCCAGCAGTTTCTAAATGCTGGAGACCATTCAAACCATAGCAAATGTAATTTTTAAGATGAAGCTGAAATTGAAGCTTATCAAATTGGGAAGTTTTTTCGTGTACAAGTGAAGCAGTGATATTAAACGCAAAGTGAAGAAAAATAATTATTTCTGATGAGAATTTGTCAAATGGACAGTCATTTTTTTTGTTTTTTGGGGGATGTTGTGTGTGATATTTCAAAATAAAATGGCAGCAATCCCAAGAATCTTATTTTGCTACTTCCCCCTTTGTGTCAGGATACTCCTTGCCAAATTTCATACTTGTACGACTATTTATGCCATCATAGTGCCTTAATATTTGATTTACATCATTTTGCCAGAGACATGTCCCAGAAAAGGAGTTTTGGGCCCCCTGAGACCAAACGGTCCTGAGTTGGAGGTGTTTGTTTTCAACTTGTGATGGTCTAAGGTAAAGGCTTACAGGAAATTTAGCATATTTATTTTAGTTTGCACTGTAATTATTTCACTGACTTCGTTATATTTTTGTTATTCAGTATTTGGTTATAGTTTTGCTGACTTAAGTCTGTTTTAGCAGCTTCCTCTCCACAAGAGAAAGCTGCGCTGAACATCACTGCCCTCCTTCAGATCCACACATTTATAGAACAACAGTGCAAACCATCCTATAATACTCACAGTTTCATTTACTCCTTCACTACACATGTTAAAAGGTTAAGACTGAAGGGCAGGGCGCCACTCTACAGGTGTAAGTTACTGAAGTAATTTGAGTAAACTGAGTACACAGTAGAGATCGCGCACACGCAGAAACAGGAGGAGGTCACGTGGTTTAAACAAACAGCCGACCAACAGGAACCTGCGGCTTATCATTTCAGACCAGACTGCACGATGAGACGAGCAGCGAGGCGGAGAAGACGAGCCAGGACTCAGAGGGCAGAAAACAGGTAGAAACAACTGTACTGGGAACACTGGTTCAGTCACAGTCACCGCAGATAAAAGAGTCAGCTGAAGTCACATAAATGAAATAATCAAAACACAAAATGTTGTGAGTTATAACTTTGGTAATGTCTGTGGAAAACATGCATCTTTTATATTACAGGGTTAATATGTTGAAACTCTGAAGTAGACATACAGTAGAGATGTTATCAGTGCTGTGATGTAACTATTTTCATTTTATGCTACTTTTTTTCACCTAACTACGTTTTAGAGGCATTGTCATTTACATTATATAAAACATGGGCTTATAGAATATAAAACTAAAATTCCAAACATTTTCGGCTTGTGGTTTCTCTGGAATAAAAGCTGTAGATGGAGCTCGTCCATATTTCAAGTGCAAGTTCCTTATTTTTAACATGCACAACAATTACAGCAGCAGTCTTTGGTAATGAAAATATTAAAGCTTAGTCTCCTTCTACACATGTTTGTAAAAGAAAAAGAAAGAGCAAGGCAAAACAAAATGAGAATCTAAACATAAAACAGTGTGACTTAAAACAACATCTATGACACAGATATGTATGTAGTTGAATATTCATACGGAAGTGAAAGAATAAATAAAACATAAAGTGAAATAAATTGGACAGTAGACATGAATGTAGTGAATATATATATATGTGTAATGTGTATAAATATATATACACAGAGGTGTAAACAGTGGTAAAAGAGTATTTAACATTAAAGTGACAAATGCCCCCTCTAACCTTCTTAGACGTTTCATTTAAGTAAAGCCCCTTTTACACTGCCTGGGGTGGGAATTTCTTGCCATTATGCCGCCTCGCTGCTCTGTATAAGAGGTACAACGGAGGAATGCGTGGACAAAGATGTCTCACTAATAAGCTGGTATCGGAGGTAGTATAGGTGCCGAAGCGATGTCTGTGTAAACAGGACAGCCTGCAGGACAGAATCATATGTGGCATGGGTGTGATGTTTTGACGACGTGTTATAAATGCAAGCCACTGTGGTAGATTTAAAAAGTAGCTGACAGCAGTTAGCGGCTAACTCAAAGACAAACAGTGGCTGCGAATGTCACAAGTTGGGAAAACAGTGAGGCCCAGGAGCTCCTTATCCTCCGAGCAGAGAACAAGAACAGCCGCCATGTAACAGGGACAGTAGACGATTGTTTTTGCCATGTTAATGCCACTGCTATGTTTATGTCATGTCCATCATGACGCTTTTGCCTCCACCACGCCAGTGTTGTGTTGAAATGTGTTCCACAATCGAACAGTGGCTACCCCCTGCGAATGCGTAGTGCCCCCTTGGTGTTTAGGGTCAAGGTTAGGTGGAGAGGAAATGCATCACGGTGGGGAAACGGTCGTTGTCACAATACCGGCATGACCGCCCCCGTTGTGTTGTTCTGTGTAAAAATGCAAAGGAGGAATAAATAAGAGATTTCATAGTGGCCCTATAACGTGATCTCTATGTGAAAAGGGCTTTCCAGTAAATCAGAACTCTTACTGACGTTACGTTTTTATTGTTACTCTCTGATTAATCATCTCATGACCTCTCAGATTTATGTGGGGACCCTTTGGAGGGGCCCGACCCCTCAATTGGGAACCACTGGACTAACTTACTATAAACAGTAGTTAAAATTACCTTAACATTGAGCAGATTGTCACTCTTTAATACATCTATATTAATGATCTAATGACACCATACTTAATAGGTCATTCACAGGGGACATATTACTGTATAATGAGTACTTTAACTTTGGATACTTTGAGTGTATTTGACTGATAACACTTGTATGCTTTTACATACGCCAAGTAGGATTTGAAATGCAGGACTTTAACTTGTGATGGAGTATTTTACATGGTGGTATTAGTACTTTTACTCAGGTAAAATATCTGAGTAAATTACTACAACCAGCCCTGTTACAGTGTCATGGCAACACACACTCACGCATGCGTACCACTTCCTGTAAGCCAATTATTCAACATGAACGCGGTTAAATTCTGTATTTTTCTTAATTACTATAATTTACTATACTAACCTTTGGTTTCTTGTCCTGCTGGGTTGCCAGTTTGGAGCTACACTGTCGAGTATTCACCGCTGATACACTGCGTGAAGCGTGCAGGGTGAAGGGGCTGAGAATCCTCCATGTTAAACGACCCGCTGCTGCTGCTGTTGTTGTTCTGGACGCCATTTTAATTAACTGACACTAGACTGTTGTTTCAATGAGACCCAGTGACCGTTACAGCTCACAGCATCCTGATATTAACGGTAACCTGCAGTTTACTTCACAGGAGTTCATGTCGGTGTCCTTCTGTGTGTGTGTGTGTGTAACCAGACGTTTGGTCACGTGACTCCCACAATGAAAAGGTGTGCTCGAAAATATCACCGGCGCAGTCAGGCGGGGTTTCGACAATTCTGCTCGTCAGTGGTGGAAGAAGCACTCAGATCTGTTACTTAAGTAAAAGTATTAATTCCACAGTGTAAAAATACTCTATCACAAGCATTATTCCTGCATTAAAGATGTAAAAGAACAAAAGTATTAGCATCAAAATATACATAAAGTAAGAAAAGTAGTTACTCATTATACAGAATGGTCAATTTCAGGATCATATTAATTATATTACTGGATTATTATTGTTGGTGCATTAATGTGTTGATCATTTTAATGCTACAGCTGATAATGGTGGAGCTGATTTTAATTATTTTATATACTGCTGGGTAGCTTAATGTATAATAATACATAATAATGTATCACTTGATTTTAATTTATGATTAAATCTGTAATATGGAGTTGGACAGTTACTTAAGTATCAGGAAATAGATGTCCAAATAAATATGGGCATAGATAAATAAATAAATAAATAAATAAATAAATAAATGCTGAAATACATATGGAAATAAATACATAAATGCATAAATAAAAGTTGATACATTTCTTTATTTATTTCAGCATTTATTTATTTATTGCATTTATTTAATTAATTAATTTATTATTTTACATTATTTTATTTTTATTCATTTCAGCATTTATTTATTTGTGAATTCCTCTCAGCAACTATTTGTTCTTTTATTTCTGTATTTATTTAATTTAAATGTTTAAATGTATGCATTTATTTGTCTATTTATTTATACTTACACTTATATTTATACTCATTTATGCTTAAGATACTTAGTCGTTTTCCATCCTTCTTACAAAGTATCTAAAGCTGTCAAATAAATGTGTGCTTTAACATCTGGAAACATCTGTCACATGCAGTATTTTACCAAATTAATACCACAGATACTGTGTTGCAAGTTAAAATCCTAAGAAAAGTAAAAGTATTCTGTGCAGCTGAATGAACTTTATTACCGATGCATTAATTTGTATGCAGGATTAAATGATCTAGCTAGTTGAAATCAAGCAAACTACTTCAGCTAAATAGTAATTAAGAGTGAAACTGTAGTCAACTTGAGTACTAAATATAAAATATTTAACTGTACATTCACAGTAAATTACTAGTTATATTAATGTCACAGTAAATTAGTGTTCATTTTTACAGTAAATTGTTGTGAAATGACAGCTGTATACTGTGATCTCACAGTAGTTATGTCTGAACACTGTAATTTAAAATGACTATTTACCTATAACCTCACAGTTAAAACCCATTACATAACTGATATAACAGCATGTTCCTGTAAATTACTGAATTAAACTGTAACACAGTTTATGTACAATTGATTACTGTGATTTAGCAATATGTTCCAGAAGAATTACTGTATTTCACTGTAATATCATAGTTTAATTCAATACATTACTGTGATTTATGCTTCTATAAATTACTATATTTACCTGCATGAATTTCACAATACAATTCTGACTTTGGTTAAATATCAGTGATAATAATGTAATTTATTGTGAAATGTTACAGTTGCATGTTGTAACTTCCTGTAAATAATTTGCAGTGTATATTTTACTCAAGTACCACAGTTAGAAAATACAAGTTTACAAGTTTATGTCTTGCATTACGAATTTCATACATTAAATACTCATGTAACTACGCTAATACCCCGCCTTTGCTGCTATGTTACAAACGGCACGGCCACACGTCAAATGTAGCGCACCCAACATTGGTCAACCAAAACTTACACTACGTTAAAAATAGTAAAGTCGACTATCGGCAAACAACATATTAATGTGATTTATTCTACATATGCGGGAATTTGTTACACGTTAACTAAACACCCATTAATGTGTTTTAATCGTGGATTGAAACAAACACCGCTCATCTCCCCCAGATGAGCGAAGATAAACTCCGTGTTAGTTCGTACGCCTGAGCCGAAAAGTAACTACTAGAAGGTAGCTAGGTAGGCTAATGTTTAGCTTTAATCAGGGGAGGTGCTCACTTTTCCGCAACAGTTCAGATGGCTGTACGCTGGCTATGCAGGTAAGGGTGAAACCATTAAAGTGACTAAGTGGTATTATTATATTAAGACCCCCAAAAGGCTGGAGTTATTTGGTGAAGGTGGGGCTCAGTCAGGTGATCATCGGTAGCTAGCTTAACGCACCGACACAGACAATGACATTCACAGAGCGCTGTACGTGGAAAACAGGGCTCGGTCGCTGCTTTATTGGAGCCAAAATGGCTGTTTAAATATTCAGCAAGCTTCAGGAATATATGGATTTGTAAAGTAGGTTGTTTTAAAGCGAGAGTCGGCGGAGGAAACCCCTCTGGTAGTCTGTGGGAGGGGCGACACCAGCCCGACCGCAGTCAGTCAGTCAGTCAGTCGTTGGGTGCTGAAGCTGACCGGAGCATCACCGAGATCTCTCTCATCTTTTTGAGGGGGGGTGGATTTATCCATCTGGATGCCACTTTGCTCCACGACTCGCCCTGCTTGTTGCTGATGGAAACAGACATCCGCAAAAATGTGCGCGAATGTGTTCGGAGTTTTGAAAAGGTGAGAAATAATAACGCTGTTTGTGTGTGTGTGTGTGTGTGAGGATCCAGCTGACAGGAGATGCTTCGAGGTGTTTAGTGAGATCCGGAGGTGTGGTGATGGGTGGTGTGTGTGTGTGCTGGTTCTGGTTACCAGTCTTACACACACACACACACACACACACACACACAGGAGGACAGTTACCTTCGCAACCAGCTGTGCCAAATAGGATTTTGTACGGTGACATAATGCGCAAAGCCGTGCAGGACCGGTGCATGCAGCCATGCATGCAGGAATGTGCTTGAACGGGTTTGGGGGAAGATTTTAAAGCACAGGGGGGTGGGAGGGAGGGTGCTAGTGGCGTGTTACCTCCAGCTCAGTTAGCCATCATGCTGGGTGACTCATGGGGGGGTCATCCTGATGTTCCCAAGGTCCAAGGCATGTGTGATGTCAGCCAGCGGTGTGACAGATTGGTGAGGGTTATCTTCGCAGTTCAAATTGCTAAAATCCGAAAGGAGGTGGACGTTTCAGATGCAGTCCTTTTGTGCAGATATCAGTGTCTAAAGTACAACAAAAAAAAAACAGTCTTGCCTGCAAATTTGAGGGCGTAGATTTCAAGGTGTATAACATCAGCTCAGCCTGGGAGCTGTAGGTAGGTGGGTGCTTTCAACATGTTGACCCAGGGAAACCCACATTGAACATTTGACCTGAGGGAATAAAAACACAGCTGAGGACATAAAACCCCTTAAAAGGTCTCCTTAATGTGTCATGTTAAGAGGATATTGATCTGGGGAACATAGGACCCTGGGAACATAGATACGCCCCCACTCATATGAGGGAAGATTCCTACTAGAAACCTATTCTTATCTTTGTCACATCAGCTTCCCTTTTTTTTCTCCTCGTCTCCCTCGGATCAAATTAAGAGATGAGGTGTTTGCCAGGCTGGAGTGGATTTTGCTGAGATTATCCTAATAAATACTCAGATTTGTAAGCTCTGGCCCGCTGCATGCGTCCATCCACTATTCTGGAAATGCCCAGCCCCTCGCCCTCTTACATAAGTACTTTAGGGAATGGCTTGATAACATAATCCCGTCTATTCCATAACTGTTACTGATGCTGTGAGCAACAAAACATCATATTGTGGGGCTTTGTGTTCACGGGCAACAATCACATCACGCTCTCAGGGCACCTCGGCTGATAATGACAGCCTGTCTCGTGCTGCAGCCGTCTCCCCTGAGCTGTGTTCTGTTGCAAAAACTACAATACGTTCCTTATCCTAATCCTGTGTGTTACCGTTCACCCCGCAGATATAGGAAGTTCACTTTGATGTGAAGAATTGAACACTCTCTTTTTCTTTGTCTCTCTTTTATTTAATCCTAAGTATTTATTTTAATGCTGGAGGTGGTTCCTGATTTCAGAAGACTGGACGTTTGCTTTGTGATCATGAATGGATTACTGATCAAGCACAAGCCCAGGGGCCCGAGGGGTCAGGGGGCCTGAGGGGTCTAGATCAAAGCCTTTATGTGACGGGACTGTTATTAACATTAATGTTTTTGCTCCTGATCTTAACATCACAGCTGCCCAGCACTCTGAGGCTGCAGTAACATCCATTCAAATACAGTTAAATTAGTGAAGCATTTTAAACCAGAGCAGCTAAATATCTCCGCTTTAGGAAACCTGCATCTCAGGCTTCCTTCGATAGTTTCCTGTAGTGTTCTGTACATTGTGCTGTAGTGTTCTGTATAATATCTCTGCTCCGGAGTGTCAGTGTGGAGCTGTTGTGGCAAGAATCTTTGGACCAGAGTCAGACAGCCTCTCTTCATCTTCAGTCTGAAGTAAATACTGAAGTTCAGCTGCAGTTCTTCAACCATCAGCAGCAGCACCAGAGACTCCTGGTTCACGAGCAAAACGTTGCCAAAAGACAAAGAGGCACAATGCAGCACTCTAAATACATGCAACCTGAAGAGATACACGACGACAGGGAGATGTAGAACACCAAAACAAAGATGCACAGCAACGACACAGTGACACACAACAATGACAGAGATGCGAAGTGATGACAGAAAGAAGAAAAAACAATACAAGGAGATGCAAAATGACAAAGAGGCGCAAAACAACTATGAAAGGATGCAAAACAACTGCAAGGAGATGCAAAATGACTAGGAAGAGATGCAGAAGAAATACATTAAGCAAAATGACAATGAAGAGATGCGAAACAACCACAAAGAGATGCAAAATGGCCATAAATAGATGTAAGTTAAACACGAATAGATGCAAATTAACTACAAATAGATGCAGAACAACTACAGAGAGATGCAATATGACTAAACAAAGATGCAAAAGGACTACAAAGGGATGTAAAACAACTACAAAAGGCATGCAAAATGACCGATACAAAACAACTGCAGAGATGCAAAATGACTACAGAGAGATGTGAAATAACTATAGATAGGTCCACATTAAATGCAAAGAGATGCAAATGATGAAAAAAAGATGTAAGTTAACTCCAAATGGATGCAAAACAACTTTAAAGAGATGCAAAATGACAATAAAGAGATGCTAAACAAATACAAAGAGATGTGAAATAACTATAAATAGATGTAAATTAAACACGAATAGATGCAGAACAACTACAGAGAGATGCAATATGTCCACAGAGATGCAAAATCACAAAGAGACGCAAAACAACTACACAGAGATGTAGTAGAATGACAAAAAATATGTACAATTTAACTACAGAAAGATGCAAAATGCCTACAGAGATGCAAAGCAACTACAAGGAAAAGTAAAATGACTATAAAGAGATGCTAAACAAATACAAAGAGATGTGAAATAACTATAAATAGATGTAAATTAAACATGAATAGATGCAGAACAACTACAGAGAGATGCAAAATGACTAAACAGAGATGCAAAAGTACTACAAAGGGATGCACAACAACTACAAAGGGATGCAAAATTGCAGATACAAAACAACTGCAGAGATGCAAAAGAACTATACAAAGATGCAAAATAATAAATAGATGCAAATTAAATGCAAAGAGATGCAAATAATAAAAAATAGATGTAAATTAACTTCAAATAAATGCAAACCAACTACAAAGAGATGCAATATGTCCACAGAGATGCAAAATCACAAAGAGACGCAAAACAACTACACAGAGATGTAGTAGAATGACAAAAAATATGTACAATTTAACTACAGAAAGATGCAAAATGCCTACAGAGATGCAAAGCAACTACAAGGAAAAGCAAAATGACTATAAAGAGATGCAAAACTACTATAAAAAGACGCAAAATGTCTACAGATGCAAAACAACGACAAAGAGATGCAAAATGACAACAACTACAGAAAGATGCAAAATGCCTACAGAGATGCAAAGCAACTACAAGGAAAAGCAAAATGACTATAAAGAGATGCAAAACTACTATAAAAAGACGCAAAATGTCTACAGATGCAAAACAACGACAAAGAGATGCAAAATGACAACGGAGAGATGCAAAACAACTACAAAGAGACAAAATGACAATGGAGAGATGCAAAACAACGACAAAGAGATGCAAAATGACAACGGAGAGATGCAAAACAACTACAAAGAGACAAAATGACAATGGACAAACTTATCATAAAAAGACACAAAATTACAAAAATGACACAAAATTACTACAAAAAGACAAAACGACTACAAAGAGGCAAAATGACGGCCCGCTCTGACACACCCTCCTCATTAGAACAACAGAGAATGATCTGTATTGTGGCTTAATGAGCATTGTGAACGTACAGGAGGGTTCGACACTTAAGGCAGAATGATTTTCCCTCAAGGTAGTGACACATCATGAGAACAGGGGCTGCAACTACTGACTGTTTTCATTATTGAATAATTTGATGATTGTTTTCTGGGTCAGTTTGTAAGTTCACCATGACGTCTTCAGATGTTTTTTTTTTCCAGAATCAAAATCCAAAGACAGTCAGTTCACAGTGATTCACAAGAGAGTAAAGCAGTAAATCTTGTTGTCGGAGAAGTTCTGGTATTTCGGCTCCAGAGACAATTTAACATCATGAATGAGAAATGAATCTGAGGAAACAGTGACATCGTGTGAATGACATTTTTCTGAGTAGTGTTGAATTAGGAAACATCTCTCAGCTTGAGGCACCTGTGACACACTTTGACACAATCTGTGAGTGTGTGCAGAGACTGGCTGAGCTGTGTTCATATTTTGGGTGTTGGTCAGTTCATTCCCCTCTCAGTATTTAAAGCCTGATGGGCAGGTTGGATTGTGTGTGTGGATTAGAGAGCTATCAGCATCATGTCAGCCAGCGAGTGCGATAGAAATACTAAGCAATACTCCCAATGGTTGTCATGTGGGTGTTCCTCTTGTCGAGACGAAATGTAGGTTAACCTCATTCATTTTCTTGCATGATTTGTAAAGGCTAAGAATTTCACATGAATATATTATGTGGGCATTTGTTCTCGACTTGTTGTCAGCTGGGTTGTCACGTGATTCATGTGGAGTTACATTTGATAAGAAATATGAACGGACTCAACAAAAGCAGTCAAGGTCAAGAGAAGACATCATTGCACTCATATCGATCAGCTTACAGTGGTTTTGAGAGGAAGTAAAGGGACATATTTACAATACTGATTATATATGTGGGGTCATAGTACTCTGCTTATTAATACATTATGTTTTCTCCTCATGCATACATGTGCTTATGCATCCAAACTTAACAGTTAAAATGACATTTTTAATCTATGTTAAGACATTTCCTGGTTAAATAAGTTTTTATTACTATGTTGTTATTATTATTACAGTGAAATAGCTTCAGTAAGTCTTTTATTTTACTGTTAAATGGCAGGTCTTTATTTCCTCAGGCAGTAAGACTCCTCAACTCGTCCTCCGTACTCTGTCATAAAAAATAGTTTTTATGTCTTCTTGTGTAGAATAAAGCAGTGGTTCCCAACTGGTGGGTCTTGGTCTGAAAGTGGGTCAGGGGTCCATTCTAAATGGACCGCAAGTGACTCGCAAACATGTCAAGTTTGTAAAAAAAAAAAAAAACCACTATGTTTTAAGTACATTGAATATCTAGCACAGAGCTTTTATTTTGAAGTGTTCTTTCCTGCTGTAGAGTGAGTGACTAACAGGCAGCTACATGACAGAAGCCCCTTTTACACTGCCAGATTTTCCGCAAATGTTGGGCCATTGTGCTGGCAAGCTGCGAGCGTTTCGACACACGGAGCCAGATTGGCGAATTGATCTGAGGTGCCCAATTTTCCGCCTGGTAGGGTAGACATATCAGCGGAACCTTTTTAGTTTAAACAAAACGAGGCGCCTTCCGCTACGGGAGGGGCTGTTGATGACTTGTGGGAGGAGCTGTTGATGACGCCGCATGTGCGACCCACTGGCGGTGGATAAACAGGAAACAGCTGATAGCAGGAATTAGCGAGCAGCTAGAAGCAAGAGGGAAAAGCAAACCTGACAGACACTGTAAAGATGAGCAACTGGGGAGACAAGGAATTGCGTGCCCTCCTTGTCCACGCAAACGAAGAGGCTGTTAACCGTCAGATGACGGGGACGGTGAAGGATGGGCCAACTTACGAGAGGCTTCCCTCCCATGTCACCGTTTACGTCACACGCTGAGCTACACATTTTGTTACTTGCTCACGCCCCCCATTGCCCCGAAAAAGGCGCATTCTGTATAAACAAAAGTAGGTAGGCGGCATTTTGCTGCACTCCCCGATTTTGTTTTTAATGCCAATGCTGAAAGAAGGCTGATTGGGCATTCCTGCAAATTTGCACAATTCCTATTTAAAAAGGGCTAGAGACAACAAACTAGCTCGATGACATGGCCAAATACAAGTATGAAAATTAGTATTTTAAACTGTGTGGACCTCGAACTAATGACGAAGAAGAAATCTGGACCCTGAGGCTGGACCAGTTGGGAACCACTGGCATAAAGGGACTTTGTTGTACAGCCCTGTGTTGTAGAATGATAATACATGAACCTTGTAACAGACTTAATTGGGGTATTTCACAGAAATGGTCATTTTATATAACCAGGATATGTCTTAACAGATATTACAAATGTATTTTTTTGTTGCTGTTAAATTTGGTTACAGGTGAAACACAGATTTTTATTCTCTGTTAAGAAGTTCTTTGGTTAAATAAAGTTATCACTCATGAATCACTGTGGGTCAGCAGGAACATTTTTTAGTGAGCATCCACGCTGATGAAGTATAATGCTCCAGCTGTGTCAGCAGCTTACACCCTGTAAATTTGAAAGGATTTGGCTGCCAGTGTTTGTATCACTCATCAAATGACTCTGAAAGTGATCCAAAGGATATCGTCTTCTGCTGTCGTTAAAGTTATGGTGTGGACTCCACCTTCCACTTGTGAGGATTGCCGATTAATAGTTCTTGGTACAGTCAGCATTCTTGGTGTTGACAGTAGGTTTGCAACAGATTTTCAGAGTATGATAACATTCTCAGCAGTTTCACAGTATCACAGAATTGCTATTACTATCAGTCAGAATGAGCCTTAAATGGAGGGTTATTGTTGGTTGAACAAACATTTTATTACTATGATTGAAACTTGAAACCATTTTGGAAGTATGGAAGTTTGTGAAAAAAAGTCTCCCCCTTGAAAATAACTAAATAAAGTAGTGTTGTTTTGTTCGCAAACGAATCATTCAAAAGAATGAATCTGTTGAGTGAACGTACTGAACTGATTTGTTCATTTCTCAGTTCAGTTCAGCTCAGCAGCGAGTGTGCAGGCCAAGGTGGAACTGCTGATTCGGTCCGTGTGAACGATGAATTACTCGCGAGTCGCGAGGCAGCCAGGGTGCAGGGAGGGACTGCCTACCGCGTGACGAATCACTCGGTGAACGAATCACTTGGTGAACGAATCACTTGGTGAACAACGTAACCCCGATCCCTGAGTGATTCAAATCATTTCTTCTCAGCGATACACTTTCCTAGGGATCATTTTCTCCAAGCTAACAGCTAATGTAGCCAGGAGTCAAGCCACATGAACACAATCACACACCTCCCCATTGTTTCAACAGACTTAGTTTCCAGATAAACAAACTTAAACGATAGGCTGGCCAGTAATGAGACTCACCAGTGCAGGGCAGACGCAGCAGCAGCTCAGCTGTGTATCAGTTCATTGAGTCGGACTACATCGTACACAGTCAGGGCTCTTCCCGCCAAGCACTGAACGATTCAGTGAACGAATCTTTTGAACAAATCTTTTAAATGAACTGATTCTAGTGATTCAGTAACATCTAAAGAACTGCTTTGCCCATCTCTAAAATAAAGGGGAGATTCTCTGTCCAGTTGCTTTTTTTCCAATAACGTAGGTAAGCACATGTACACAGTATGATAACCCAGGGTGTCTTCTTTAACTCACTCTAACAACAATATTCCTACATAACACTAACCTCTGCACAAGACCAAATATATACTACTTGTCTGCAACACTTACCTGCGATGCTTAAATAAGTAAAACATGATTTCTCCAAAAATCTGCCCTAAATTTGGTTAAAATGTGTCTTGATGTCTTGAACAGGTCGTAAAAAGCATTAAATTTAACCATCTGATACCTGACACCCTGTAACTGTCAGCTTTTATATCCCGGTACACCTTTAAACCAGTGTATCACTGCAGCTCTAATTCAAGATCTTTTGCTTTAACTGTTTTTGGTTTTACTACTCTGTTAATTACGAGAACAATTGATGGTCTTGGCTGAGATATTGGTGGATATTAACTTATTGCAGATCAGGGTTGGAAATTAGCTCCAGGCTCCAGCCAAATGCTGGTAAAATATGCATGCGCCTGCTCGATGTGCTTCACTCACCAGCCAAAAAACAGTGGTAATCTATTTTGGTAGATTTTGGAATCCACCAGCCGCAGTGGCAGGTGGACAGAGAAGTTTATTTCCACAAATACATGAGTATCCACACAGTTTTTTTTGGGGGTCATTTAGCAAAGGCGTCTCCTTCAATAAGTAATCCAGACAGAGAGCACATACAAGTTTGTTTTTTAACTATAAAGAGTCACATTTAATATGTACCTTGGTCACAGTACGTATGTAAAAAGATGAATATTCAGTATTTTAGTGTCAGAAATACCCTCAGATCTCGATATAAGCAGAGCTCAAAGTGGGCTGCCGCTCACTGCTATACAGCACCAGCACTGCTATATTTTACTCCTCGGTGTACTGTGACTTTTTCTTGAACCTTTCACAAGCTGCTGGTGCTCCTTTCTGCCGTCTCTATATCAGGCTCTCTGTCTGGGCAGCTCATAATGTGCACCACCTCCCTGGTACACACACCAATATGTAACTTCAAGAACTGGATAGAAATATTAGCTTCAGAAATCCAATTTGTTAACATTAGCTTATCATTTATTATTTTGATTTATTTATTTAACCCTTATTTAACCAGAAAAAAAAACCTCCTTAGATTAAAAATCTCCTTTTCAAGAGCGTCCTTGCCGAAACATGCAGCAACATAGAACAAAAATGCACAGCTCTAGAAATGAACCAAAAAAATGCAAAAAAACCCCCCCAAAAAAACGGCAACTACACTTGATTAAGATAAGATAAAACCAGCTAATATACACCATGATATTGGCATATAGGTAATTGCATATAAAAAATACTGCAACAGCACTTTGAAGCGGTCGAGAGGAACCAACAAGAGCAACTTTAAGTCCTTCTGCAGAAGATTCCACATGTAAGGAACTGCAGACATAAATGCTCGCTTGCCAAACTCCAGTCATACCCTCAGTACAGACAATAAAAACATGTTTTGTGAACGTACATACATAAGAATCGGCACATATGTCAACTGATGACTAACAAGAAATTGCAGCACAGAAATGTCCGATACTTTATGTACTTTGCTTTACAACTTTAGAAAAGGTGTCACCTTTTAGTTCGTCACACAGAGAGCGAAGACAGGTTGATTCCTTTTTAACTGTAAGTCATCATATTTGGTATTTATCTTGGTCACTATACAAAAAGATGGAAAAAGATGAATATGGCCTGATATTTTGGCATCAGAAATTACCCTCAGAAGTGATATTAGCATATTGCAGATACATCAGTATCAGCCTTGTATATGTCAGCCGGAAATGCCAGATATTTTTTGGGGGGGTACTTAAGAAAAGATGTCACCTTTTATTGAGTTCTTCAGAGAGCAGTGACAACTGTTAAACGTCACAGTCAGTATTTATCTTGATTTTGTTTTCCTACTGTTGCTCTATTAGACACTGGTTTTTGCTTCTGCTCCTTGAGAACACTTCTGTCTTCTATATTTGTATATTTTGTCAGATATTTAACACTCTTTTGTTCTAAAACTGGTTGTGAATCGTTGAAATTGTGGTTACTGTACTTGCTGTTTCTGTAATTTGAAACATTTACTGGCACAAGAATATTCTTCGGGATAAATAAAGCTATGTTTAATTGAAGTGAATTGAATCACATCACAAGACATGTGTAAAAAGATAAATATTGGAAGAATTCGTATCAGAAATATCCTTAAACAATGATAGAAGTCTCAGCTGTAAGAATCCAGTGTTAGTCAAAAACTACTAGTTACAGTCTGACAAAAAGGCCACAAAGAATCAAAAGACAAATCGTCCTTTTTACAAACCAAACACTGCAGCTTCAGTTCTCTCGTTAACGTGACAAACGTTCCACGCAGATGAGGCTGGTTAACATTTCTGGAAACCAGTAGCAAACTGGGAAGTGACAGCACAGTGGTAGAGCGTCAGGATTGCTCACACATAAAATGGATTATGTTCATGTTTAATGACTCTTCAGCCCGCAGGCTGGATTTCTGACATGTTAAGGATGACAGAGCTGCCTGCAAAGTGGAGATACAATTTATCCTCGGCTCGTTTCTCATCTTAGGATTTTTTTTTTTTTTTTTTTTGAGGTGCCAGTGGGCGACCGTCTCCAGTGCAACATAACAGCCATTGTGTTTATATCAGAAGGTCGTGTGTGGTTACTGTAACGCAGGAATGCTGTTGCCTTTTTTTCCACAGCGAGGAAAGATTTATGAAGATGTTGCTTTCATTTCAAACACAGAAATGCCATGTTGTCTACATATTAAGTAGCATGTGACAACAGGGCTAACAGCATTTCCATTTCACCATGTTGTTGTGAATTCCTCTGGAGTCGGTGGAGTTTTAAATATTTGGCGGAGGTTGCAGAGTTTGTCTTTATGCCAGCTGCTCTGGCAGAGGCCCAGATATTAGCTGGAGGTCCAATTCAAACAGTGTTGGCTGTGAGCGTCTGAAAGAAACTTTTCAAGTAATCCACCCATTCTGGCCAGCAAACAACTGTGTTAGCTCTGCTGAGGCTCTGCTCTGAATTGGTGCTTATTGTTCTGATCTGTCTCTTTCTGCAGCCTGTTTGGGAAGCCCTTTGATGGTGGGAAGAGGATGGACCATGGCGGTCCACAGCAGCAGCAGCAACATCCGATGGAGCAGCAGCAGCAGCAGCCGTATCACCCGCAGCACCCTGCTATGATGCGGCTGTATGAGGTCCAGAAGGAGGTGGCGTCTCTGGGGCCTCAGGTCTGCACCTTCAGCGGCATGCAGAATGATCGAGAATACAAACGTCTGGAGCGTGAGCTGACACGGCTGCTGCTGGAGGTGGACCAGGTGGACACGGAGGGCAAACCAGAGCTGCAGGGGGCACGAAAGAGAGCAGCACAGGAGGTGGAGGGCCTCCTGCGCTACCTGGAGGAGAATGCCACACATCCATCCCGCTTGGCCATCGAGGAGCTGAGCAACGAGGCGCGGCAGCTGGTGGACGAACGCGTGGTGGCACCTCAACGATCCGGTGGGGTGGCTGAAATTAGCGACGAGCTGGTGGATGCTCTCCAAGAGCTCATTCTCAGGCTCACCCAAGTCAAGACCGAAGGGAGGGTACCGCTCCGCAAGGCGCGCTATCGGGCACTGACACGCCTGTGCGCTGTGCAGGACGTGATCGAAGGGCGCACGCAGCAGCAGACGCTCTCCCTGCCGCTGTCGGGAGACACCCATGAGGCCGTGAACCGCATCAACCAGGTGATGGTGAAGGTGAGCGTGGCGCGCAGTCAGCTGGTGGCTCTGCTGATGGGTCTGAGCGGGAGGGACAGCTGCGCCCACCTATCACGGATCCTGACGGAGATGCAGGTGGAGCTGGATGCACTGGATGTTTCCGGAAAAGCTGCGATCAGAAACTACAGGAAACAGGTGGTGGAGGAGATAAATGGGCTGCTGAAACATCTGGACCTGGAGGGGGAGGGAGACGACACACGCAGGTAGGCATCACTCAAAGATATAGACGAGCAATGATCATTTTAATTATGGATTAATCTGCAGATTATTTTCTTCAAGGTGAAGTCTTCAAATGTCTTGTTTTTTTTGACCAACAGGTAAAAACCAAAGATATTACATTTACTGTCTCAGATGAATGAAATGATCACATTTCAGAGGCCAGTGTTCAAATTTTGGCAGTGTTATTCTTATCAAAACAGCAGGGTGACCTCAGATAGTTGACTGTTGGTCGATGCGATTTAAGGAAGCTAATTCGACGTCAGTCTCAGAGTGAAATCGTCATAGTAGCAGAAAGTTGTGGAAAAAGATCATTCCAGTCAGGCTATATGAAGGAGCTGAATGTCTGATTTTACTGTATGTGGAATTGGTTGGTTTCCCAGTAAATCAGAATATGCAGCCAAAGCAGTTTGTAGCTGAACTATGCAACTCTTTACACATCATTTAAATCAAATCAAACATTTCTTGAACCACCCGAACCATCCTGGATCATCAAACAGTGAGTAACTAACCAAAGACAACGAGCTGATCAACGTCATGGTGTGTGTGGGTGGAATGATTTGGTGGCATCTCGGCACACTGAATTGTCACCTCTTTGAAAAACACAGCGCTCACTTCACCAACTTTATCAAACCAGTGAGTGTATGGGTTATTGCTGCTGCAGCAGAGGGCCAATCACATGTTACATTAAACTTAAGAATGCTTGCCTTGATTGGCTGCAAGCAAAACCATACAAACAGTTGTTCTTTAGTAGATCTGGGTACAAAAAAAAAAAAGCAGTATCATCTAACTGGAGAGTTTGTTTGACAAAGGTAAAATGTGTCACAACACACCATCATAAATGAAGCATTGTAGTGTTACAGAGAAGCCCAGGCCTTTAAATCATATTCCAGACATACAAGGGAACATGCTTGTTTGGTACAGACTCCAGCAAAAATCAAAATCATAATTTGTTTTTTCAGTGAAAACGAAATGAAAATTTGGCATTCCCACTAAAATCGCAACTCATGTCGCAATCGCAGTATCTTTATTATTATTTTTTGCTTATTATGCAGCCCTAGTCGATTTGATTTGATTTTTATTTGGAATTTTAAAAGCACAACGACTCACAGGAGAATCATGACATGAAAAATCCCAGAGGATAGCACTTAAAGCATCACTAGAAACACTGATTTCTATAGTGGTACCTTAAAGGTAGCGAGTATCTATACCCAGCCCTGAGCAGATCGCTGAATATCTTTTGAATTTATGGACGATTCTCTGTCAAAACCAGCAGCGCTAGGCACGTAGAGCAGCACTAGGCACGTAGAGCAGCTGTTTGCGTCTTCCTCAGGGATGCTAAGAAACTAAAGTAAGTGGTGTGCTCTCACTGTGCATCCATCCATCTTCTCTGCTCTGTTTCAGCACTACGGACAGCGCCACACATACACACTCACCCCCAACACACAACAAAATGAATGTAAGTTATCTGTCAGGGACACACCTGCAAAATAGTTTTTGATTATTTTCTTGTCGATTGACATATTGCAAAGGATGCACAACCTTCTCAGCTGGAATCACCGCTTAAACATTTTCTATACATCAAAGTAAACGCTGTGCTGTCCTCACATCATCCTGCACATCACCAGTAGCTTTGGGTGGTGGGTCGGAGGAGGATCTGTGGATTGTTGTTGAATTCAGATTTGTATCATGCTGCACTGTCAGGAGTGAATTAGACTCACATCACCACAGAAGCTCTGATAGCAATAATACGCCTACCGAGTACTCCATTATGTACAACAGCAGACTCGAGCACTGATTCAAGTACCACTCCATTCACATGTTTTTCTTTGTGCTGCCTAGTTATGGGCCTCAGTTAATTTGATTAAGTTTGTTTTTCACAATATGCTCTGAAAATAAAAACATCTTAATGGAATAGAGAAGGTGTTTTTAATGTTTGTTTGCTTGGCAGTGAGAATTAAAAATAATGCTGTCCTAAAATAATTCAGGTTGCGGAGTGTTTTGTGAGTAATATCAAAGGTGTCTTCTGACCCTGGAACATACCACAGGTTTATATTGATGCTGCCTGACACCTTCTTTTATTTTGGTGGGATTAATTGTGATTCTCTGGCTGGTGTGACGGAGCTGCTTCACCTCCTCCGCCTTCAGACACCTCAGCTTGGCACAGCTGGCGCCACACTGCAGACATTTTCCCTCCTGGTGCTAAAACCGTTAATACTGCAACAAATTACTGCTCATTCAGATATGGAGAAGCTAATTTTATTAGCTGTATCTCGCTGTTAAAGGGAACTCTGCTGATTTTACACATCAGTCTGTCAACAGGTGTCAGGAAGTACTACTGCATGTGGGAAAGTAGTTGTATAAAACTTTTTGTGGCTTCAGTAGTAGTAGAAAAATCTCCAACCTGTCTATCTGTGGTGGAGTTGCATTGTGGGTGATGTAGGTTCCAGGTTTTGACAAAGTAGAATGTGAATGGAAAAGACGAATTTTCTGGTTCTGCCTCATTGATTTTTTACACTAACTTACATCGTTATATCAACAATGTTATAGGGCTGCAGTGCTAAATCAGTGAGCACTCTTAAACCACCCACACATGATCAGTGGTAAAACCAGTCTGCGCTGGCTGTGCCATTGTTTTCCTATGGAGAGAGCAGTGGCGCCCAGCAAGGCAGAAGCACTGCCCTTGTGATGCACCTCTCAAAATTAGTCAAAACTGTATAATAGTGCTGGGTTGATTTACGATTTTGCCAATCTGGTCCAGTGTATGAGATTAAACCGACTTGATTTAATGCAAATCAGCTGAACAGGCATTTGGTATTATGGCACGTTCAATAGGTTGCATCAGTAACCTGTGCTAAAGGCATCACTGCTAAATCCAACTTTTATTGCATTAGTATTATGCAATATGATGAGGTGAGGGCTCTCTCAAGCCCCTTTTACACAGCCTGCTCAAGGTGGAAATGTTGCGGTGTTATTCCGACACACCGTCCTGTGTAAAATGTGCAAGCACAAAATGGGGGGGCATTGTTATTGTAACGTTGAGCTGATGGCAGAGGTTGTAACGAAGTTAAGTCTCATTATTTGTGTTTCAATACCCATACTACCACAGTATAGTATGCCAGAAAAAGATTTAGTACGTCTTAATACATAGTATGTCAAAAATACCAGGATGTTCTACTACATCCAGTCTGATTTTTCAATATGCAAGCCAGCATGCCTTTCTAGCTATTCTGACCCACAATACTCTGCACAGCGGACGATGCATCACATCGACTGAGCCACAAAGAGATGACGACTTGACAGCTTGTTGAAATCTGTCAGAAGCCGCAGTGACGAATGACAGCGCCTTCAAGTGATTGATGACCAGTCAAATAGTAGTAATAGGAATATTAATTGTTTAATTGAACAAAATAATCATAAATATTACAAACAACAAAAGGACATACCTATGAAAATCACAATGACAGAACTGCAGGTGTAATTTCAATGTTAAATATATTTAGAATCTACATCTGCGCACTTATACCTTCAAAATTAAACTACACACATAGCAAAGTAACAACAGCAGAGCTCCAGGTTGATCTTCGTCTCTAGCGAACTCATTTAGGGGCGTTTTGTTTCATCTCCAAAGTAACAAATATAAAGGCAAACGGGTCAAAGTATAGGGTGTAACATAATGTGTAAGTAGTGTGTCTTGATTGTGTGCATACTGCATGCAACAGTACATACTTTTTAACGACAGCTGCAGCACATGCTAAAAGTAAAAAGAAAAAGTATGTGATTTGGAGCACGCCCTCTGTTCCACTCTGGAGCAGCTGTTGAGTCAAGTGCAACACCTAGTGATCATCAGTAAAGACTGATATTGGCTCTAAAATGAACTATCAGAATCTCCCAACATGGTATTTATTATTTTGCACAATGAATAAATTTTACATACATTGAAAAGTATTGTATTTTATGTCTCCATCTGCTGGTGGGCCGTCACGATAAGAGTTAGCATGCATAATAATTGTAGGAGCTAAGCCTATTACTTGCAGCTGCATGGATGTTTCACCCGACCTGACCTGGCTGACGAGCTTTGCGCAGTTGATGCCACAGCTTCCATGGCTGTGTTGAGTTCAGACAAACTGTTGGTTCCAGTTGCCAAACAGTCATTGTGTTTATTCATTCCACCAATCACAGGTTGAATAAATGTAATTTTCTTTATCTTTCAAACCAAACACACAGCAAGTTGCACACTGTCCTGCACCACGGCGGTGAAAAACCTTTCGCCCTTAGCTACAATGTTGTTCCTACCATTACACACGAAAGCTCCAAATGCAATTAATGTCTGCTGAGTGAATGACATATTTGGCTCTTACAATGATGTTAATTCCACTACAGAAGAGATTTGATGATTACTTAGGGAGAGAGATAAGTGGATACATTGATATTGGTTATCAGCCAAATGAGTTACTATATATATTGGCATATCAGATATTGGCAAAAAATCATGCATCCCTACTTAATATAAAACATGTTTGACCCTTTTTACACCGACCCGACCCTTACTCTGTAACGCAAAATTAAAATCATACCACGGTCTTGCCAGGTAAAGTCATGCGTGGTGAAGTCAGATGGGTCTAGGTTTGTGAAAAGGCATATAGTTTACGAGCTTAGCTAAATCCAATGCTAAAGTTAGCTTAGATGACTTAAACCTGTGCTGCTCTTTACCTCTGCAAGTGTCTGCACTCTGCTCTGCACCCAACCTCTCAGTGAGCAAAGAGAACGTTTCATATCGTGTGAAGGCAGCTGTGAGGACTGTGAACACACTGTGATAAAGTCTTTGTTTGATGCATGTAAAGAATTTGATCTCTTTAAACATCAGTATGATTGTGCTTAAATTTAGGAAAATATCCATATTGACATAGATGATTTCAACCGTACACCCAGACCTATAAGTACCAACACTTGGTCAGTACTGACTTTGATACCACAGGTAGTGATGATGCAGTTTGTGGTTGAAATCCAGGAGTTTTCAAAGCAGTAATCCAGTGTCTGTTTCTTCAGGTACGATCTGGCGCAGAACAACTCCATCCGTGAAATCGAGGCTGTGCGAGCTCACGTCTCCCACCTGCGAGAGGGCGTCCTGCGGCACTGCGTGATGGGGGATCTGAGCTTCAGGCCCAAAGCCGAGCTGCAGAGCCTCCTCACTCATCTGGACCAGGTGGACACGGCCAAGAACCCGTGCATCAGAGAGGCCCGCCGCCGCGCCGTGGTGGAGGTCCAAGCCATCATCACCTTCCTGGACCTCCGTGAGGCCCTGGCCCGCCGCCAGCCGGGCCCCAACGAGCACCCTTCGCACCGGGCCGTGTGGCTAGTCCTGGGGAGCCTCTCGGACCTCCAGGCCCAGGTGCTGGGCTTTGACGGCAAGCGGGTCGACAAGAGCTACATGATGCTGGAGGAGCTGCTGACCAAACAGCTGCTGACGCTAGACGCCGTGGACCCGCAGGGCGACGAGATGACCAAGATGGCGCGGAAGCAGGCGGTAAAGTTCGCCCAGAACATTCTCAACTACCTGGACATGAAGACAGACCAGTGGGAGTATTGATCCACTTTAAAAAAAAAAAAAGAAAGACATCAGTGTGGTAGCCGTGTTGCCGGGTGGGGACACCGATGTGACGTCGCTGCAGTAAAGGAGCTGATAATGTGTGTAAATAAAAACCTGGTACGTTATCATTCCATGGGCTGTAAATATAGACTCAAATCCCCAGAATGCACTGCAGCAGCGCTTTTCTTTCGTCTCTTTGTGGTAGTTGTGGCCGATCCTGCTGAGAAGAACACAGAACTCCTTTTGTGAAACACACTTTGGATTTTTTTTTGTGCGTTTTGAACATTTTCTTTTGAAATCTCCCGTGTGTGTGTGTGTGTGTGTGTGTGTGTGTGCGTGTGTGCGTGTGTATGAGTTGTCATCTGTCGTCGTATCAGGCGTGTGTGTGGTGGCTGAAGCCTGCTACCAAAGCACTACATAATGCCTGTTCTAGTGGTCGTATCCTCCAGACTGCACTTGATATCGATGAAGTGTGATGGATTGCTTCACAGTGGCTTCCCCCGTCTGGCCTGATTAATCTGAGTTGCCAATAGAGACAGTCAATGCATGTGTTGAATACAGTGACCCAATTAGACAGAGTCGACCACGGCTACCAGCTCGGTCCAGATTGTGATACCTGTTGGTTTGGCGCCAATTTTTGGGCGTCAAAATGGCCAACTATTATGGAGCGTTTTTATTTTATTTTGCTGCAGTTTCGAATTAAAATCCGATTCTTTCTGGCGGAGCAGATGGCGCGAACAACTGTTAAATGGGAATTTTAATCTGCACTTAAATTAAGAGGCAGCATCAAAAGGTGAAACATTAGAAGCAGAGCTGAGGCGTTCCCACAAACGTAGAGCTGGTGTAGACGCCAGGCAATCTGTGTTTAAACAGCAGTTTGCATTATTCACATAAGGTCACTCTCCACTCCTGCGTGACCCCGTTTATCCCCTCTGTGTCTCTGGTAGCGCTCCAAACTCACACGACTGTCATGGCAGCCGCCCTGAAAATCCTGCAAACCACAGCTGTCGTTGGCAGGCAGTCAAATGAGTAAAGAGACGCAGCTGAGATACAGATAAAGTAAGCAGGGAACTCAAAATCTGTAATGTTGTGAGGAAAAGACAGAAGTACCTTTCCCCTCGCTGCTTGTGTAGCTGTTAGTCTGTAATATGTTTCAAATGTTTGTTGTGACTCTGTACGATCGCGCTAGGCTATAAATGGATCAGGTTTTTAAAATTCAGAGATAGAAGAAGGAGAGGAGGCGAAATGTTTTTTTGCTGCTGCTTTTTGTTTCTACCCACTGCTTTCTACTGAGTGGAGAAGTGCGACTGTGAGAGGTCCCCGGGGAGAGGAAGAGGAAGAGGAAGGGAGGTTGAGGCGCTGATATCCTCTGGATTGACACATCAAGGCTGAAGCTCACAGAGCCAACAGTCGGGTCCTGTGCAGTAGAGAGTATTGATGGTTATCACAGTCGACACAGCCTTCTAGAAACTTCTCGAAGCTGCTGCTGCTGCTGCTGCTCGAGACGGTGGGAGGGGAGGGAGGGAAAGGACTGGAAGAGAAAGTCCAAAATCTCTGTGCCTTTATTTTCACCCTTCCCTGTGAGCTGGTTTGTGTAAAAGCAGCCTTGTAGTGTAAAAAGAAGCAAGCAGCTGCTCTTTTTTTGATATGTATCAACGCTGAAGCACCGAATGTGTTTACGGAGAGCACCTTGGCCGTTATCACCGCAAAAAAATTTGCACTATTTGTCAGAAATTGAAGCTCTTTCAAATCAGTATTTGTTCCCTGGTGATGAAACACCAAAGGTGGAGGTGTTGTGGTTAATAATTTGTGGTAACACAGAATGACGATTCTACTTTATAGCAGGCAATAAGATGAGTCACATTGTGCTTTCACACTGCAAACAGCCTCGCTGATGGTGCCGATCTTTGGCTCCGAATGCAAATTGGCAACAGGAGCCGAAACACAAATGACAAAACAAAATTATTAGCTGACTAAATTACTTCACAGCTTCCTGCTGACCTCTGAGAAGTTAATTGTGGAAGAGTTGGTTTTTCAGACATTAATTCCTGCAGAAGATTTTGGATTTTCAGAACTCATTCTTGACCCACCTCATGTAGGAGCTGTTCTGGAGCTTTTAATCATCACATGATCAGCTGAGACACTTTAATCCAGTTGACATGGAAATGTAAACAATCAAATTTAGAGTTTTCCTGAGCATTTTGAGGAATTTAAAGCAGCTATAATGAATATTTTTATTTTAACAATGGATCAAATGATGTGTACGTAAAAGAGGTTGCTTATAGTGATGAACCAGCAGATGATCATCATCCACCTTAGCAGTTTTCCTCCGCTTTACACAGTTTGTATCCTCCTGAGACCAGAACCTGTCATTTCTCCTAGCTATTTGGGATCAGTAGGACCTAAAAGTATAAAAAACTAAACATTTTAATAAAGTCCCAGTGTCCGCAAACAGGACGATAATAAATTCCCAATGTCTTCAAATGAGTACTTCCTAATTGACAATTTCTTGTTACTGTTGCTAAAATTGGTAAAGGTTGTTCAAACTACAAACATTATTAATAAGAAATAAACAAATTTCAGTTATAAAATGTGATCAGGTTTTGGTCCTTGTCCACTTTTGTGTCGGGGTCGGCTGCAGACCAACTTGGCAGAGATGGCTGCCATCTTGTTTTTACATGGATGACTGTATTTTGCTTTTGCTACCACACGATGAAACAAATAAGTGTCCATGAAGAGGACAACAGGTCTCAGTTAGGCAGAATGAAGTAGAAGGTGCGGTAAACCCAAAATGTGACGTCCTTATGAGGACACAAGGTCTCAGGAGGATATACACACTTATGTTGTGATTATTTTACATGGTTAAGACCAAAAGTTTGTTCATTTAGTGGCTAATTTTTTTTAGATGTTTTCAGTTTGTGACTAAATGGACCTGGTGGGAAAATAGTTTTGACAATGACTGTTTAAAAAGTCAAAAATTAAACTTTCAATCTCAATTTTTTGGCCAGCATGAAAGAGAAGTTCTTAAAGTGCTCAGAGAAAGAATGGAAATCTGACATTTGCATGACAACTGCTGATGAAGACACCTGAGGCCCAGTTTAAAAGATCCAAAGCCCATGATTTAGGTGCGTTGCACAAGTGCATTTAGGACATCGAACTGTGCTTTTGCGAGTTAAACCGCACATAATCTGGGCATAAAGTGAGGTGAGGAGGTTGTGCTTAGTCCTTCAAGTTATCATAGGTGTGTGTGGGGCCAGTTGCGCTCTCAAACTTACCACTATTTACATGGTGGATTCGGCAAATTGGAGAAGCAAATGGTTTTCTGCTCAGTAATACAGTTAGAGCAGTGATGTCACTGCAGCAAATATCATGGGACGTTTAAGCAGCAAAGCTAAAACCTGTGGTGATAAACGTGATCAAGGAAACAGAACTCAATTTTTAGTTTCTGAAGTAAACAATTAACGCTGCTCCTTGTGCATAAATGCACACAGCTCTGATCTCTTCACATTTTAGAGAATGTAATTCATGTTTTCCTCATTGATGATGCATTATTTCAGCCTCCCGCAACCCATCCACATCCCTGTGTGAACGTGCCTATGTAGGCGCATGTTACTATCTGAATAATGAGCTCTTAAAGTAGCAGGAAAACACTGTGACTTTAGATCAGGTTTTTGTTGGTCAATGCCTCAAAATAGCAACAAACCAACAATGCACCTGAACACATCTCACTATAAGACCTTCACGCCCATCGACACACAGATGCGTTCAAGTACATCGCTATTTACACAACCTGGGCGCTGGCCATGAAAATGAAACTAGCAATAACAGTTGCACTGTGCTGTGCACCACTTCTCGCCAGTTGAAAGATTGAAAGCTCCATAATGCCTTTGTAACAGACCTTGAGGTGAAGTGAAGATTTGTTTGGCTCCAAATAGTTTCTCATTCTCAACCTGCTCCTGAAATAAAAATATCTCAGTAGGGAAGGAGGGAACCTTTGGATCTTATCCGACTGTTGTCCCTGTGCTCTCAGCTCTGTGGGAATTCTCCTCTGACTTGTCGACGCCGGTTGCTCGCAGTGTGAACGCAAACTAAAGAGTCAAACATCATAGTTTCCCTGCAACAAGTTACACACGTGATTAAAGCATCAAAGCTGAGGCAGATCTTTGCTGCTCGTCCCAGCTCTCCTGTGTACCACTGCTTTTTAAAAGAAAACACAAAAACATGTTCCAGTGAACTCCCACAGACCCTTTTCATGTGCATTAAGCTGCCATTGGAAGCATTTCAGACACAAAGCCTGCCACTCGGCCTCCTGGGTATGGCGCTGACTCATACAGGAGAAGATTAGATTAAACAGTGTTCATTAAACATGGTCAGCCTGCCTGGCTGTTGTTGCAACAGATGCTTTCTCACAGAGAACCTTATGCTCTCTCAGACCAAACCAGCCCAGACACACCTTAAGTTCACATGCTCTTTTTTGAATGCAGTAATATATTATTATATAAATGTATATTTCGTCCTCGCATTCCTGTACATGACTTCCTTTTTAAGCATTCATTTGAATAATTTATCAAAGGTTTTACACTGTGTAAAGAAATGTTACTTTTTCTGTCTTGTCATCAGAGTGTCTCGAGGCCCCTTTTTTTTTTTTTTTTTTTTTTCATTAAATCAATATTCAGTGTTAGTGGCGCCTCTGTGAGTGGGCGTTATGGCAACCACACAAATTTATATTCTGTGGTTCATAAGGACAAACCTAAAAAGGAGGATGGCAGTGAGGTAAAGCACCGTTTTCTAGATGTTTTGCTGAAAAGAGATGGAGCAAGTGACCCTTCAAAAATTCCACGTATGCTGTACATATTCAGACCCTGGTCCCAGGTCGATTTACAAAACAGTTTTACTTCTGAATTAATAAGAAAAGGAATTCCTGACAGTATTATGATGCATTTTTGTGGCCGTATGTGTTTACACAAGAAAAGACGACTGATTTTATAGGTCTGAAAGAAAGATATATTTCTGCGTTTACTGGTATGTCCTTGCATGAGTGTGAAAGTTTGTCAAATTTAATTAATGTCAAGGAAAAAGTCATGGAGCAGTGTTTTAAAGGACAAGGCAGGTTTGATTTTCTTGTCTCGTATTTTCATTATTGTCAAGAAATCCCCCAAAAAGACCAAAACCAAAAAAATGTCCACAAAATCATGCAAATATTTTAAAAGATAAGTATATATTTTTATTTTTACAAAGGCTCCCAAAACAGCTATTCATGCCACGTCTTCATCGAACAAACAGGAGTAAACAGTGGATTTCTTGGGGACTGTTTTCAGCGGCGGATTAATCCACATTAGGCGCTCCAGTGAGTGTTTGGGGCAGCAGGACGATGTATGACGTAAGTCAGAATAAACTACAGTGTGTGTTTTCACGATGATGAAGGAACATGTCACAGAGTGCAGGCTGTCCTCATTCACTGTTTGTGCTTATGCCTCCAAAAAGTAATGCGCTATATTTTTAATATAACCCACATAATCGTGGGCTTGCGATCGATATGACACAATATTATCTGCCCATTTATCATAATCAATTACAGGAGAAGCTGCCACCCCTTTCTTTCTTGCTTTTGGCCATAAAAATTCATGTAGATAAGTATAACCCCTTAAGTGCAGTAAAGTTGACTTTAAACTGACTCCACTAGGGAGAAGTCAACCTTTATGGAAGAAATCTTTTTATTTCAACCCAGACCCTGAGAACAAACTTCTCCCACCAGCCATAAAACATAAATTAACACGATCAATTAACAGAAGAATAAAATTAGGCTCAATAATAACTGTCAGGGTTCATAGACAAAACAACTGTTTATTAGCTTAAGCACTTATACATTGCATAAATTAGCCTAGAGGCAAAGATTTCCTCAACTCATAGCTTAAAAAATGATATGTAATATTCATACTTTTTCCTATTCACCATTGGCACTGCTTCTCCTGACGTCACATCACGTAACGTCAGTATTGTGACGACGCCCAACCTAACTGCTAGAGGTGCTATTTCGTAAGATATCATGGCAGTAATTTGTAAGCCATCATCAGGCCCCCAGGAACATCGCTCAGCCTTGCTACCAGTTTTCCCAGTGGTCACTCAGCTGTATTTCAACGTAAAAATTCCCTGTACCCCAAAAAGCATTTTCCCCATAGACCACCATCATAAAAGGGACGTCTGTAAAACTGTTGATGGGACACCTCGACAGCAAACAAGGTCACTTATCACTTTTTTATTCTGAATTCTTGATCCCTGGAGGTTTCAAATTTGTAAAACTTTCCTCAAGCTGCGAAACCAAATCTGTGACATCATCGCAATGTCAAGTCTATGGGCCATGCAGGAACATATTCAGTGGGCCGCATACCACTAAAATAAACATGGAAGCCAGGCAAGCAATTCTCATTCCTGTGAATAGGTACCATCTTTGGGTCCGGTATCCAGGTCTAATAGTACATCCATGGAT